GGGCTCTAGGCGCTGGGCTTCAGGAGTTGTAGCTCGCAGGCTCTGGAGCACAGGCTCAGTAGTTGTGGCACACGGGCTTAGTTGCTCTGCGTCATGTGGAATCTTCCCAGACCAGGGCTCGAACCCATGTCCCCTGCACTGGCAGGAGGATTCTTAACCACTGTGCCACGAGGGAAGCCCAGCTTATCTATTTTATACCATACCCCTAACTTACCCCTCCTCCCTTCCCTCTCTCCTTTGGTAACCAGTTTTTCTGTATCTGTTAGTCTGTTTCTGTTTTGCATATACATTCATCTGTATTATTTTTTAGATTCCATTTGTATATTGGTAGTATTTGTCTTTCTGACTTATTTCACTAACGATAATATTCCCTAGGACCATCCACATTGCTGCAAGTGGCAGGATTTTATTCTTTTTTATGGCTGAGTAATATTCCATTGTATGTACATACATACTTACATACATACATATATATATATATATAGTCACATCTTTTTAATCTAATCATCTGTTGATGGGCACTTGAGTTGCTCCCATGTCTGGGCTCTTTTGATTTTTCTGGCCAAATGATTCATTGTTGCTGCTATGAACATTGGGCTGTATGTAACTTCTTGAATAGGCATTTTCATTTTTCTCCAATATATACCCAGGGAGTAGAATTGCTGGATCGTATGGTAGTTCTTTTTTAGTTTTTTGAGGAACCTCCATACTGTTTTCCATGGTGGCTGCACCAACTTACATTCTCACCAACAGTGTTCGAGGGTTCCCTTTTTTCTACATCCTTTCTGACATGTTATTTGTAGACTTTTTGATGGTAACCATTCTAACAAGTGTGAGATGGTATCTCGTTTTTTGGGTTTTTTTTTCTTTTTTGGCTGTGTTAGGTCTTCGTTGCTGTGCGCGGGCTTTCTCTAGTTGCAGCGAGTGGGGGCTACTCTTCGTTGCGTCGTGCACGCTTCTCGTTGTGGCTTTTCTTGTTACGGAGCACAGGCTGTAGGTGCGCGGGCTCAGTAGTTGTGGCTTGCGGGCTCTAGAGCACAGGCTCAGTAGTTGTGGTGCACGGGCTTAGTTGCTCTGTGGCATGTGGGATCTTCTCGAGCCAGGGATCGAACCTGTGTCCCCTACACTGGCAGGCAGATTCTTAACCACTGCGCCACCAGGGAAGCCCTTATTGTTTTGATGTTGCATTTCTCTAATAATTAGCAATGTTGAGCATCTTTTCATGTGCTCTTTTATCCGTATGTCTTCTTCAGAAAAATGTTTTTTCAGGTCTTCTGCCTATTTTGTTGATTGGTTTTTTTTTTTTTTTTTTTGCTATTGAGTTGTATGAGCTGTTTGTGTGTATTTTGGATATTAATCCCCTGTCGGTCACATCATTCACAAATTTTCCCTCCCATTCTGTAGGTTGTCTTTTCATTTTAATGGTTTCTTTTGCTGTGCAAAAGCTTTTAAGTTTAATTAGGTCCCATTTATTTTTTTTTTGGTTTGTTTTTTGGCCTTAGGGACTGATTCAAGAAAATACTGCTATGATTTATGTCAGTGTTCTGCGTATGTTCTCTTTTAGGAATTTTATGATTTCCATTCTTATGTTTAGGTCTTTAATCCATTTTTGAGTTTATTTTTGTATATAGTATGAGAGAATGTTCTAATCTCATTGGTTTACACGTGGCTGTCTGGTTTTCCCAGCAACACTTGTTGAACAGACTGTCTTTTCCCCATTGTAGATTCCTGCCTCCTTTGTTGTAGATTAGTTGACTATAGGTGTGTGGGTTAAAGTAATGTAGTTGTGGATTTACTATTGCCATTTTGTTAATTGTTTTCTGGTTGTTTTGTGATTTCTCTGTTCCCTTCTTCCTCCCTTGCTGTCTCTGTGATTTGCTAATTCTCTATAATTGTATGCTTTGATTCTTTTCTCTTTTACATCCCTACTTTAGGCTTTTGTTTTGTGGTTACCATGAGGCTTACATAAAACATATTATATATATATATAATATATAATAGTCTATTTTAAGCTGATAACTTCAAATGAATACAGCTCTGCCACCCCCATTTATTTGATGGCACAGTTTGTACCTTTTTACATTGTGTATCCATTGACAAATGTTGGTATAGTTTTTTTTTTTTTGTCAGAGTTTTCTGAATTTAAGTATATATTTATCTTTACCAGTGGTTTCATACTTCCATATGTTTTCCTGTTACTAAAGAAAACTAAGCCTCCTTCCATGTCAGTTTGAAGAACTCCCTTTAACATTTCACGTAAGGCTGGTCTAGTGGTGATGAACTCCTTCAGCTTTTGTCTGGAAAACTCGTTTTCAATTCTGAAGGACAACTTAGCCAGGTACTCTTGGTTGGCAGTTTTTTTCTTTTAGCACTTTGAATATAATTTATGTGTCTCATTGTGGGTCTCTTTGGATCCATCTTGTTTGTTACTCTCTAGGCTTTCTGGATCTGGATGTGTGTTTCCCCAGATTAGGGAAGTTTTCAGACATTAATAGTTTGAAAAAGTTTTCTGCCCCTTTATCTCTTTTTCCTTCTGGGACCTCTTATTGGTCCATTTGATGGTGTCCCATAAGTCCCTTAAGCTATCGTAACTTTTATAATTATTTTTCCTTTTTGCAACTCAGATGGGATGAATTCCGCTAACCTGTCTTCAAGTTTGCTGATCCTTTCCCGTGATTGATCTAGTCTGATGTTGAATCCCTCTACTGAACTTTTCAGTTCAGTTACATTCAACAATTCTGTGATTTCTATTTGGTAGTTTTAAGTATTTTCTCTCTCTATTCAAATTCTTTGTTCATTCATTGCTCTCGACCTGGGTGAGCATCTTTACAACCATTATTTTGAACTCTCTCAGGTAAGTCACTTTGTTTTGTCAAGCTCTGCTTTGGATATTTATCGTGGCCTTTTGCTTGAAACATTATATCTTCATTTCTTCCTTTATTGGTGTCTGTGCATTATATAAAACAGCCACCTCTTCCAGTCTTGGATGGTCTCTTGTAGGAGATGGTCGTTCAGCCCAGCCTGAGCTCTTAGTTGTCTCTCAACCTTTTGTGACTGTCTGAGCCTCCTTCTTTGCTTTTAGTGGCTTTTTTAGAGGGTATGCTAAGACCTGTCTGTGTATCCAAAGGCAGGGACTGCAATTAGCACCTAGATGCAGACGGATTAGAACCTGGACCCTGAGGCTGCAGCTGAGAAAGTATGTATTGACGGTTAAGCCCTGTCCAGGGAGAAAAGTAAATGGGCATTTTTTTTTTCCCCTGTTCCCTTCGTGCTGAGCACAGGTGTACAGTCACCAGGGCGTGGTGGGAAGGGAGCTCCTGCACCCATTAAGAACTGTATTTATTTTTGTTTGCTACAGCCCAGTGGAATTCATGAATGCAGGCCCCAACTGGCTATCAGAGCCAGATGACCCAGGGACTATTCCATGGGTGTCAGACATGGTAGAGACGTGTACAAGCTCCTTGCAGGGAGATACTAGTGACTGGAGTGAGCTGGAAGGAGAAGGTGGGAGAGGTGTCCTTTAGCTTCCCCAGTCTCTGGGGAAGATTGCTGCTGCTCCTAGCACCTGCTAGATTAGGAGCCCGGCCTTAGGCAGCAGCTTTTAAAATGTGCAGATGAACTTCTTTCGGGGGAGGACTGGGAGATGGGCAATTCTGCCTGCTCCCTCTGCACGTGGCCCTGAGGGGACAGTCACAGTGCGTGCTGTGTGCCCATTAAGAATGCTTTTTTATTATCTATAGCCTTGTGGATCTCACGAACACAAGCCCTGCTGGCTTTCAGAGCTAGGTATTTTGGGAACCCATACCTCCAGTGGGAGTCTTAAAAGTTGGAGCACTAGATGTGGAATCCAAACCCTTCACTCCTCAGGGAGAAGCTAAGAATTGGGAATTCTCTCCTGATGCACGGTGCTGTGCCAGGGTTGGGGTGTATGGTGAGACTGTATATTGGCCTTTCCTACCCATTTTGGTGTGGGTATTTATTTTCTCATTTGTTTAGTATGTAGGAGCTGCCCAGCTAGTTTCTGGATCTCTTTTAGAGGGAACTGTTCCAGGTATAGCTGTACATATGGCATATCCATGGAAGGAGGGGAGCTCTGCTCTGGAGCCTTCTTGGTCATCTCTACCTTATCCCTCGTCTTAACATGGATGACTGAGAACTGCTTTGTCTACAAGGGCAGACAGACTCATCATCTGTCCCCTCTGAAGTTGAAGCTGGTTTTAAAAATTGTGGCCATTGTCGGTTCACATACTATTGTAATTTTAATTGTAATGTGAGAGGGCTCTTCTGCATTGCTAGAAGCTTTCCTTATGAGTCATTCTACACTCGTGTATCGTAAGTTACATAATTCTTCAGTAAGTAAGTTTGTCACACAGTATTTATACAAGCTAAAACAGAGGAATTAGGTGGTCATAGGGCTGTGCTACATAATCTGATTTAATGTACTGTGACTACTTGTGAGGAACATTTTGGCCCTTCTTATCATGAACACTTGTGGACTAAAGTTTGAGTTCATATTGCTCTCTAGAACGTTTCACTAGCTATTTTGTTGACATCATTTGCTAGTTTTCATACCTACTGGTTTATTCTTCTCTTGCCACATCTTTTATTACTAGATGAACTTAACATCTAAGTTGATATGCAGTTCAATTCCTTAGCCATGCTCCTTCCTCAGAGGAATACTGGTATCCAGTACTGGTATTCTGATTCACTGGGGTTTAACTATGTACAAACAGCAGAAGCAACTATAGTGTCACTTTTTCTTTCCTGAAAATGTGGGGAGTAGGGGAGAGACGGCCTTAAGCTGGTTTGTATTTTTCAGAAGTTCCACAAGTGATTTTGGTATAGAAATTTTTTGTGCAGTTTTTTTGATAACTTTGTTATTTATCCTGCTATTCTGTTTTTACACCAAACCACAGTAGAATTGCTTTTCTTATAAATATCTTTAACAAACCAATTTTAATTTAGATTTTAGCATTAGTTATGGTTTCTTTTTCTAATAGGTGTCATCTTTAAGAAATGAAAAGCGAGGCTCATCATATCTCGTCTCTGCCCCAGAAGGTGGTTCAGTGGAATTTGTTGACCAGCATTCTCAGGGCACAGGAGCATATTACATGGAAACCTACTTAAAAAAGAAGCGAGTGTACTGAGTTAAGTTCTCTCCTTACAAACTCAAGGTTCTTTGCAGTATCTCTGCTGTTCATTGCTGCCTTAACTACATTCAAACTAGCCATATCCTTTAAATACGGGTTTGTAATTTCCCAGAAGGAACTGTGTTGTGCAGCAGGCAGAATTGCCAAATTAAAAAAATAAGTAGCAGTAAGAAGAGACATCAATTGAGGACATATTCCGCTAGAATTAGATGCATCTTAATCAATGTGATATTAACTTACAGTCCATTGGAGAAATTAACATGTTCCAATATTCCTTGTTTAGGACTGGGAATAATTTTGACACCACATATAAAAGTTTGAAGCAATAAATGGGAAACATTCTTGTTTCCTGGGCCTTAGAATAAATTTCTTTTTTTTTTTTTTGATTTTTTTTTGTGGTACGCGGGCCTCTCACTGTTGTGGCCTCTCCCGTTGCAGAGCACAGGCTCCGGACGTGCAGGCTCAGCAGCCACGGCTCACAGGCCTAGCCGCTCCGTGGCACGTGGGATCTTCCCAGACGGGGCACGAACCCGTGTCCCCTGCATCAGCAGGCAGACTCTCAACCACTGCGCCACCAGGGAAGCCCCAGAATAAATTTCTTATAAGCCAGTGTGCATTCCAGTTTATCGATACTTTCCCTAGAAGTAATCTCATTTCAGATTTTTAGAATTTTTCCTAGAATTACAAGAATGCAAGTACACAATGCAGTGATTGGTAATGTTATAAAGATGCTCTACATATAAACTTAATTATTACCCCCACACCAGTCATACAGTATAAAACTCAAACACAGTGACAGTGACATCCAAGGTATACACTACTACAGATGCTTTACTCTTAAAATGTTATTAACCATTTATACCTCTTGTGAAAAACACAAGGTTGTTTTTTCTTTTGAAGTAGCTTTGCTGATCTAATTTCAGGGACTGGCAAACTACTCCCTGCAGTCAAAAAACAGTCCTCCAGCTGTTTTTGTACTGCCTGCAAGCTAAGGATGATATTTTTTACATTTTTAAATGTTTGGAGGAAAAAAATGTATGACTTGAAATTCAAATTTCAGTGTCCATACATAAAATTTTATCGGAACACAACCATGCTCGTTCACTTACATATCATGTATGGCTAACTTCTGTGCTACAGTGGCAGAACTGAGTGGCTGCAAAGCCTAAAATATTTACTATCTGGCCCTTTATAAAGTTCACAGACTCCTGATCTGATACCCTTAATTCCCTAATCCTTTTACTTCACACGTACAAAAAGACCTTTAACTTTTACAACAGATTTGTAAGTGGCAAGGAACAATAGGTTTCTGTGTCTTAATTTCATAGCATAGTGATGATTCATCTACTAGAACAGGGCACATTTTGGTCATCAGATGCCCTATTTCCACAATATAGTAAAGCAGTCAATCCTGCCCTTTCTGAAGGAGTGTTATGGAGTAACAGTATTTACAACCATTTTGAGATAATAAGCTATACCTCACTCTCTGCTTTGTCTATTATTCTTTTTCAGTGTGTTTGTTAGGCTGAAAAATTATCAGCTATTTAACCCAATTTACTTTTGAAAGAATTGTGTTTATTGCATATAACTTTTGAATCACCGTTTCCTGAAGACCTTGGTATTAAATGCATGAGAAACCCTTTTGCTATCTAGAAATTTCTAAGTTTGTCCCTTGTTATGAGACATTAATTGATGATGTGGAGTTTAGGGGGGGTCTCAGTGATCCTAGTCTTTTTGAAATAAGATCATTACATATCATATTTAGGGGACTTATTGACTATGATAGAAGGTTTCTCTCCTGTTTTAATTATGAAGTTTAAAATTGGTACACATGTTGTATGATTTGTAAAGAATTTCACTTGGTCTAATGTATTGCCTATGTTAACTTCTATTGGCAAATGACAGCTAGAAAGTTAAATTATTAGATAATTTCTAGTAAGTATACTACCTATAAATAAGTGATCGGGACAGGCATCACTCAGTTGTGACTCAGCAGATGAATAATGGGTGCTCCATGCTCTGCACTTCTTCCCATTTTCCTGTTGCACTGAGCTTCTTCAGTGCTTTGTCACACCTCTATGACAGTACAAATAGAAGAAAGGGAAGATGGTGAATTTTAAAAATGTAAGCAGGAAGAGGTTGAAAGAACTAAAAGGTATTTTGTGTTAGCAAGTGTGGGTCTGCCACCCATACTGGCCTGTGCCCCATTATTGCTGGGACACAACAGATAAGTACAAATCAAGTGGTGTTAGTAATAGGATCATTACCAGTGCTCTCCCCACCCCCAGCCTATACTGTTATTTTTCTATGTAAACAAATTGTTTGAAATGCTTTGAAAATGAACTCTTAATATTAAAAGGCACATGCATGTGAAGTCTCTAGTATATTTATTTGTATAAAGAGTAAACAAAGTGCATGTAGGGTGGCCACAGGTTTGACAGAGATCTTGGTGATGTAGGGTTACTAGACAAATTTGAATGGCTGTTGCCATTGAATCAATACACAACTCTTTTTCAGGCTCAAAGATGAAAAATAATGGTATCAAACAAATGCTAGACAGCATGAACAAAAAGTTTTCAGACTCCTGGTCAAAAAGATCTTATGGTTCACAATGAATCAGAGATTTGACATTTTTGATTACCCAGCTACCTCCAAGCAAACTGAAAACTGCCTAGTGGATCCTGAACTCCACAGTGCTTCTAGCTGGGTCTTTCAAGTTTTGCGCGATAGGGTGATGGTCAAAATAGTGATCGACTCTTGTAGATGGATGGTAAGTACTGAAACACTAAGAACAGTGCAATGTACATGGTATACATGCATTCAGCATCCAAAAAACAATGCTGGCACAGCTTGCCCCAAAGTGGTAGAGTTATAAAAGGATACACGTTGACATTTCTGAAAAGCAGGTATAACAGCATCCAGGTTCTTGGAATCAATTCTGATTAAAGGTATACTGTTTAGGGAAGCACTGGCACAGGTTTAGTTCTCAAGAATCAACATCATGCAGCAAAGTATCTATTCCACAGCTGCCCCCCTGGGTATGACCAGTTTTCTCAAAAATGGGTTCCGCTGGTCACCCACCCAAGGGGACAGGAGCTAAGCCACTGCAGAAACAACTCAAAGTTTATGTCCTACTGTTGACAGGGATACACTCATCTTTTTGTATAGCAACAACAGTATACTAACTGGTATGTAATATTTCAAGAATGTTTCATCTATCACTGTTTAGATATTGAAATTTGAGGGCATATTAGAGTATTGGCCAAGTCCATCAATCTTTATCTTTGATTTATGTGCCAGAAAAACATTTCACATCAACTGGCAGCTAAGAAAAAGCAATCATCTTGAGACTTTACTTTGGTCAGCTCCTCTTGTTTTGAAAAATCCCATTCTGGTACTCAATTGTGATAGTAAACTAACCAGATGAAACAGTGGTATATTCTTTCCAAAAGGAGGAGTGCTTAAGTGCTTTCTAATATTTTGGTTGTCATTATTTGTCACTATGTTACTGGTGCCAAATTTAAAGAGGAAGTACTTACACATATTAAGCACCACACAGTGTGCTTTATACGAGGATACGTACCCCAGTATCTTTTTAGACAGAATACAAACTTTTTCCAGTTAGAACACTTTTTTTTTTAAAATGGCTTGGGTATTGGTTGGGGGTAGGAGGACTTGATACACAGTAGAATTTAAATGTTATTCATGCTTCTTATTTTAGAAGCGCTTCAAATCCCTCAATAAGGTTCTGAAAGGTTGTCCGAATGGATGGTTGGAATTCCCAGCATTTTCTCATAAGTTGATAAACCTGTAAAAAGAAAAAATAACAACAGTAAAAATGTTTAGGAGCTTTTTTAAAAAATTATAGAAACACCAAGAAGAACATAATTTTGAAAACGTGAATGACTTCCCTTAATAAGTAATACTAGAAAACAAGAATATGTGAATAACTTAAAATACAGAAAATGTGACACATCTATAGCTCATAAATAACATTTTAACATTCGAGAAGCTCATGACTTAACTGACCTTGCAAAAAAATCCAGGTCATTAATTACTATAAACCAGTTTAAGGGTGAAGTTATACCTCAGTTTAGATTCCAAATTTCCTTACCGGCTGCTTCATTCTTTGGCTTAAACATACTATTCAGTACATCTTAAATAGTCTACAGAATTAGTCTTAAAGGCTCAGTTCAGTTAGAAATACAGAAAACTGGATGTCACAATGCTGTGATAAGTGGGATAAACTTACACACAAAAATGCAATTATATGTATTTGTCACAGGAAGGCTACACCAACATATGCTCCTTTAGGGTGCTCACTGTGTTGAGCCTACTTCTGAAGGGAATCCCTTGCTTTGAATAAAACTTGTGGCTGTCATCTGCCCCAAAGATGATTTTCTCAGATATCTTATCTGAAATTCAGCTTCTGAAAACTATTTTAAAAGAGTTTTCTACTCATTCCTGCTCCCCCACTCCAATCCCATGCTGGATAATTCAAGCAGTGAAAACAGTAAAAACTGAGTTTTATTACTGTGAAATGGCCCATAAATACCTCTTCTGGACAGTTAGGTGGACAAGGCAAACGTTTTCCTTCTTTTAATGTATTCACAAGTCTTGTTACTGTCATCTGGCCATGAGTTGGGCCTATCATTTTCAGGAACAACTATGTAAAATAAAACCAAACAAAATATTTTACTTTGTACATATTTATGTAAACACCAGATAGATTACAGTAAAATTTCTAGAATTGGAAATTAAAACAACAAAAAGGCTTTAAAAATGAAAAGTCCAAGACAATTTTCCTTTCCATTATAACACACTGATTGGATTCCATTTAAGAATGAAACTTACAAAGCAGAAGGATGGACACATTTTAAGTGGGTGCTAGATTCAAACGAAGGACAAGTAAGACTTACCGCCATGGGACTGGAATCTGAATCACAGTAAGTAAGCAGCTCATGCAGAGTTACTCCAAAAGACCAGACATCAGAGGCGATATAAAACTTACACTGAATTAAACATTCTGGAGCATACCTGAAAGAAAGCAGAACTTGAAACTTCATTTCCTGGGAAGGATATTCCAAAAAGCATTAGAGTCACTCAGAAAAATCAGTGCTCTGGTTTTTCTTAGAATTTAATATTCTAAGACATTTAAGTGTGTATTATGCATCAGTCACACATAGGCCGCTGTGGTGCACATCTGATATGTGGACAATACCCCTATAGGCTCTCATTACACATTTGCTCCCAAACATCAGTCAGACTAGTCTGTGCTCCTCATTTCGCAGAGCATAGGCTCTCCATGGGGAGGGGATGGGGCGAGGAGGTGATGACGACAGGCCCGGGCTTCATTTGCCTGCAAGCTCAGATTGAGTCAGCGGTGAATTACTGCCCAGTCCTCTTCCAATGTCAGCTGTTTTGGTGAATGATACCCAATTGCCTGAGCCAGAAACTGAGGCATCCCCATATCCAGTCTGAGAAATACTTCTCAAACCTCCCCACTTCTAAACCCCACCATCGCTGTCCTAGTTCACACCATCACTGGCTCTGGCCAAATCAGACTCCCTGGCTCCAGTCTTGCTCCTCTCCTTCCCACAGTGATCTTTTTAAACAGAAGTCCCTGTCCTTAATCCCCCGAACAGCAACCCAAGGCTCTTGGGATGGAGTCCCAGCTCCATAACTCAGCATCCAGAGCATTGCCTTGGCAACCGCTGAGACCTCCCTTCATGAACCAGCCACACGGAGCTGATTCCAGTTCCTAGGATAACCACTGCTCTGTCTCACTCTTGCCACCATACATGCTGTCTTCTAACCATCTTTACAAACCCCCAGCAATCTTTTAAGGCCTTATTTTAAAAGAACTTCCAGAAAACCAAGCCTGAACCCTTTTCTGGTTATGGTACCACGAAATTGGCTGCCTCACCCATTAAATTCTAAACTTGGTTGGCTTGTTCACCCTTGTTATCTCTAGTATCTGGCACAAAGCAGGGCCTTGATACATATTTCTTTAATGAATAAATGGAGGTTTGGCCTCCGTGGGTGGAAGAGGCCCATGTCGTGTCCATACAGGATGTACCTCGTGGTGCCAGTCAGTTCTACAGGACAGCGCAGAGTGGAGACTTCAGCAGCTTCCCCCTTGGATAGTGTTCCAGGCTGAGAGGGGTCAAAGTCAGGGGGTGGCCCACCAACCAGGATACTCTGGTGATTCATGAGAAGATGGCCAAGCTTCTTATGGGTTTTTGCTCTGTTATGTCCAGGCTCTACCTGAATCTGCCAATGCCCACTCGTCACCTCCTTCCTGTCATCTTCCTGCCCCCTCCTCCTACCTGCCCTCCAGACTTCCTCTGCATGGATGTGATTACTCCAGCTGCTAACAGTTTTAAGAACTGTGTCAGAGGAATGCCTTCTCCAGCCAAGATGGAGATGCTGGGCGTTGTGAGATTTCTTCCTTGGAAGATGTTGTCCTATGAAGCTCAGGCATTTCTGCGAGTTGTTTTCAGTAAAACAGCTTATAAGATGTTTCTTGAAGGCAAAAATCAGTCAATTCCAAATGATCTAAGTCTTTTTCTAATCTGGACTAATAAGAGACATTAACATAGCTAGAAAGGACCTATCAGAACAGTGGAAACCCTATAAAGCACTGATGAAATCTGTTTGATTCAGTTACCAAAACACAGGGCTGTCCCGATCGTCCTTGACTGTGTAGTACTCCTTATCAGTTTCAATGGCTTTGGTTAGACCAAAGTCCCCAATTTTCACTTGGTGTTCACTCTCAACAAGGACATTTCTTGCTGCTAAGTCACGGTGAACGTATTGCCGAGAACCCAAATAGTCCATCCCCTGAGGGAGAGAAGAAAAGGCAGAGCACATTGCTGAAGGTCAGTTCAGATTGGATTCTGTATCTACCACTTCATAACAAAAAAACATATATATATGTCATTTCATTCACATACCACTTCTTTTGTTTTTACTTCTTTGCAAAAATAGTTAGACCAACCTGATTCCAAGAAATACACATTAAAGAAACCATATTAACAAATCAGTTCACTTTCTTAGCAGAGGCTAATTTTCAATCCAAATCATGCAGAACAAAATAAACTCAGTACAATTATTGGAAATTATTTTCTACTTGCAGCCTAATTACAAACCAATTACCCAGGACAGAGTGCCTGATTTATAAATTTTTACCAGGCTCTTTTTTTTTTCTTTCTTTTTACCTTACAAATCTGAACGGCATATTTTAACTGCTGTTTGAGGTTAATTTTGTTCTTATTCTTTGGAAGATACTCCTTAAGACTTCCTGAAGGCAGAAATTCCATGATGAGCTTAATACCGTTTCCTCCTGTTTAGAAAAAAGACACGAAAAAACAAAAAAAACATCAGTATTAAGGTTGCCAAATGAAGGAACTGTGGGAGTGAAGGGCACAGGATCTGGAGACAGAGGACCTGAATCACAGGCAAGTTGCTTAACCTCGCAGGTTTGAGAGTCTTGGGATCCTCAGCAGTGAACAGGGTACCTACCCTAGGGTCGTCAGCGCTCACTGAGTCAACAGTGTTCTGCAAACCACTAGGCAAATGATGATTTTTAAAAATTATGAGCCACATCATCTCACTAACAATTTTAAAATATAATACATGAGTATTGTACTGGCTTGTAAAAAAGATACACTTATTAGTAAACACTACTTGCCACCGTGATTTAGAAAACTAGAAAACGAAGTACCCTGCTTAGTGCTGGATCAAAAGAACAGGGAAAGGGGAGGAGTGGGCATCAGTTTCATCTGGTCTCTGTGCCCTCGTGTGCAAATATCAGGACAGGGGAAGTCCAATCCCCAGTGTGGGTGTAGGAACAGCCAAGAGAGACAATGCTGGAATCAACCCCCGCCTGGCGCGGGGGAGGCTGGGCAGCTTTCCCAGGAGCTCTGCAGCTGCTCAGGGTTCTGACAGTGCATGCTGCTTCGAAGCCCTAGAGCTCCGGGGGCCATCAGCTAGCACTCAGGCAGCCTAGATGAGGCCAAGGGCACTGCCTGCTCAGCACTGGCCTTCATGACCCCAGATAGTCACTCAGTCTTTAAACCAACCCAACTTTGCACAACATACCGTCTTCTGTGCAGATGCCTTTATACTTCACAATGTTCTCATGATAAAGGTTTCTTAAGATTTCAATTTCCTTCTTCAGATCAGCTATGTGGTTCCCTCCGCTCTCAGGCTTCAGGGATTTGACGGCCACCTGCTCCCCTGTATTGTCCCCCTCAGGGTCATACCTGCAGAGCTCGACCTTCCCAAAGTGGCCCTGGAGGGAAAGATACACGTGCTTGAAAAGAGAAGCCCCGGCCTGGGCCAGCAGGACACACTTCAAAGATGAGCCTTGCTCCTCGTGCTGTTCCCCTGAAGGCAGGGGTGCACGCACAGTCTGACCCTGCAGGCAGCAAGCTCCTACCTGGGCTCTTCCCCACTTGGCTTACCTGCCATTCCTTCTATTACTGAGCTAAGACAAGAAAAGGATCAAGTGACTGGTGAACCAACACATCAATCCCAATTTCTACGAAAGTGTAACCCAAAAGGAAATGGAGGTTATTTCTGGACATGCAGGACAACCTCGACATTCTTTGACAGCCCTGGGTCCACGCTACAGGAGGCACCACAATGTGGCTACAAAGAGCAAGGCATGAGGAGTCTTTAGAAGACGTGGATTAGATCCCAGCTAAGCCACCTGCTAGTGATTCGAGCCTTTCGAGCCTGGTCACCCCACCTTCTGAGCTGGCTCCAGAGGTGCTCAATGTATACAGTGGTAATAAACCCTTGGGGATGCTGTGAGGAAGCAGGAACACTGTGCCTGTAGAATGCCAGCACTCGGCCTTGGCACATGGCGGGTACTCAAGGTGGCACAGCCTTTATTAACTACAGAAAATCTGTATAAAGATGCAAATTCCAGTAGCTTCTCTAGTCACATTTACTGTCAGGAAACTGCCATTCAAGGTCCAGAGGAAAAGCTAAAATTCTATTTTGGTGTTCTGTGAAATAAATCCATCCCTCATTTAAGCAGCCTCACAGGATACGTATTCCCAGAAAAGTCAGAGGTAGGGACTTCTCTATTTCCACCATATCTATATCCATCCCCCATGGATGGATCCCCCCCTTTTCATTCTCTTTGTCCCTTAGAGACCAAGTCTCCCGAGGGAGCTGATCAATGTCCTGTGGACAGGCTGCCACCGTGTGTCAAATGGAAAAACACACAATCCTAAAGAAAACACAGTAAGATGCTTTCTCCTATAAACTTTGACCCAAAATGAGAGAGAATGGAGAGCAGCTTTAGATATCCATAGAGGTGAAGTGGTCAGAGACTCGAGTATAACTTGCCTCTCCCAAGTCACGGATCCTCTTTAAGAACCGCTTTTCAAAATGTGTGGGATCCACTTCAGTTGCTGGCTTTTTTTCTGATACGATGTCTGGATCTAACAGAAGAGAAAAGAGAACATGTTAAAAAGGAGTGATTGCCCCTCCCAGGCTCCTTGTTATCCCTCCCTCCCCCGGGCATTGGCTGGTCTTGGTTAAACAGCTCAAGGCAGAGTCTTACTCTGCTCCTCCAGCTTATTGATGTCTCTCATGATGGCTCGGAAGAAGGGTCTCTGGTTGGGGTCGTAGTTCATGCAGCGGGTCATAAGGTCAGCTAGCTCCTTACAAGACGGGGTCACTGGCCTGCACCGGCTTTCATAGAACCTCTCTTTCTGCAAAGAAGTGGACCACATGAAAGAAACCAAAGGAACCACTCACAGACCTTTTAGCCCCAGGTCAGAAGGAGTTACCTAACAATCCCTAATTTAACTCCCAACAGCTTTGCTTAAAAGTAGACGTCATAAACGTGGGTGCTAATGCTGCCTTTCTCTAGCTGTGGGAAATCTTAGTCCTGGATACTAAAATAATCCGAATTCAAGGAAAACAGGCAGTATATCCCACCCAGTCCCAAATAAGCTGTATTACAGCAAAGTCATGCAACCTTCTGGAATATGATTTGGCAACATGTGTAGAAATCTTCAGATTCTTCAAACTCTCATTAATTGCAATTACTGAACGACTCAGAAATAAGTCAGAAACAAAGATTTATGTTTAAAGATATTCCCTGCAGAATTAGACAGAACATTACAAATTTGAAGACGACCTCAATGCCAAATATAAAATTAGTTAAATAAATCAGAGTTTAATGAAACAACTCTTACATCAAATTAGTAAAAACTGTAAGACTTATTTAATCGTATAGCAAAGTACTCACAACATTAAATGAAAAAATATACAACATAAAATGAAAAAATAACTAGCATGGTCCCAAGTTTGTTTAAAAAAGAGAGATATAAACAGACTGGAAGACAATATGCCAAAGTGTTAAATAGTAGTTAGGGGTGACCAGAATATAGTGATTAATAATTTCTTTTTTAAAAATACTTTTCTCTGTTTTCTAAATTCTCATCAACGGGGTTAATACTTTAAAATTCTGAAACGAATAATTGATGCCCTTTTAAAAAAATTAAGTTAATTTGCTACACTTTAGGCTCTGGTCTGTAGCTGACTCTCAAGGGTACTAGTTTCTCTCCTGGTCCCTGTGGGTCCTAGGGTGGGGTGGGGGCAGGCCCCAGAGGAGAGGAGGAAGACGGGTTGGAATTAAGGAGCTGAGAGCTCCCCCTGCCTTGGAGTGTCTCTCACTCTTCCAGGCTCCAGTAGAGCCAGGGGGAAAGGTCGCCCAACCCACCCAAGGGTGCCTGGGAGAAGAGACAGACCCTCCTTTATCAAAGGGACAGACCTTTCCTTACACCATCTCTGTATTCTGCTCAGTTCTGGGTACACAGAAGGTGCTCAGTAAATACTGACTGACAGCAAAGGGTATGCTGTTTTGTTTCCAAGGAAGTTAAAAATAAAATGACTCCCAAAAGCCCCAGCTGAAAATCCTAAATACAGATCTATGGATGTGATGGTTTCTCTGTTGGTTTTAGCTTAACTCCTCTTTCCCAAGTCCTGCACCATGTTTACCTGGCAAAAGGCTAACAGGTTAAAGGTTCTTTTGCCTCTTGGGTATCTCCTCCACGTGCACCCTCCACTCTGGATCCTCACTGCCACTTCCTGGTTCAGGCTGTCGCCACTGAGAGCCTCAGAGCAAGAGGCCTCTCCTCAGCCTGTCCATCCAACCACCATCCAGATGAACTGTGCCCAGTCTGGCCTCCGAGCACCTGGCTCCCCCACCCAAACCCTTCAATGCCCCACATCACCCCAGTAAAAATTCTGCAGCCTGGCATTCAGGGCCTCTATACAATCCGACCTCAAAGGACCCTTCCCACCTTTTTACCTGTCATTCCTCTCCACACTCCAGGCAAATGAAACTGCTCCCTGTAGACAACTGAAATGCCACCCTCCCTTGGACTTTGATCATTCCCTCCCAGCTCAAAGTGATGTCTGCCCCTCTAAAGACACAAGACACACCCTAATAATCAAATCAGTGAGTTGGGATCAGTGGTCCTTCACTCTAACTTTCACTGCTTTATCCCTTTGGAGTTACAGCCTCCACTAGCTTTCTGCAAGTGAACATGAGAAAGGGTCAGCTTCGAAGTTCTGCATTCTAGCTAAGGAACCCGGGCCTTGGGCCACCTGCATCTGTTACCTGACCTGTAAAACAAGGGTAATGACACTGCCCTACCCAACATGCAGGGCTCTTAAGGTGATGATTTCAGATATTATGTGTGGAATCCTTATCGCTGTTTTAGCCCAACTCTCCTACTATACCCTAAGGTCCTCAAGGGTAGGCAAGGCCTGTGTCTGTTTCATTGTGAACCCCCAGCTTTAACTCAGGACAACGCCTGGTACACAGGAGGAACGCAATAAGTATCTGGGTGTTAATTTTGCAATGCTATAGCAATCTACTGAGCACATATTGTGTACCTGGGACTCTACACGCATTATTTACTTAATCTTCACAACAACCCTGCAAAGTAGGTATTATTTATTCCCATTTTACAGATGATGAAACCAAGGCCCAAGGAAATTAAGTAACATTTGCAAGGTCACACAGGCAGTGTAAGCTTGTGGAGGAGAGTCTATCCCGTGCCCGTCTCCTCCCACAATATGAGGCTTCCTGATAACTCCTGAGACACCCATGAGTGTCCAAGGGGTCCTCACTCAGCTCACACCCTGGAAAGCAACTCACCTCAATCAGTGTCTTGTCTTTCAAGGGGATCTCGCCATTGTAGCAGATCTCCCAGAGCGTGGTTCCAAAGCTCCACTTGTCAGCGGCCACACTCAGGTTCTTGGAGTCTTCAACACACTCAGGAGCGATCCATGGGATTCGTTCTATGCACTCTGGAAAAGACAAGAAAAATTTACAGATCAGTTTCTGCAATCACCTGGGGAGTATATCACTGCCATTGCAGCAAGAACTGGGAGTTAAGAAACTCTTTCAAGTAGTGTTTTCCAAACATGGACCATGGCTGCCCTGGTCCTGCAGGGAGTTTGTGAAAGGGGCGGTTTTCCAGGTCTCTCAGCCCTGGCCTTTCCAATGCATCTGTCTGAGTCAGGGCCTGCAGCTGTGTCTGTTTAACACAAACTCCCCAAGAAGGTCATGTGAGTCAGTCTTTGAAGCTGTGGCCTCAGAAAGAGCAAAGCACCCCAGGGTGGAAGCCAACACCCTGGGGAGGGAGAACAGGGGGGCACATGGACAAAGGCTTAAGAAAGAGAGGCCGACAGATGCAGAGCGGGCACGGGCTTACCCCCATACTCTGCATATCGCCCTGCAAGGGCCCAGGGGTGCACTGGTATCCCACGTATGACCTACAGGTAGAGCATGACCTGTGCGGCACTGCTTCCAGTGTCTCAGCTCCCAGGTCTGCCCTCTCCTTTGGAGTCCTCAACTCATGATGACCTCATTCAAAGAGAAGCTGAAAGACCACAGCAATCGCTAAGGCGCCTCCCATACTGCTCACTAACTACAGTGGATTCCTTGTTTTGTTTTGTTTTGAATTTTTATTGTAGTTGCTTACAGTGGATTTCAAAACAAACACAGGTAGGACCCAGGTCCCACTCCTCCCGACACATCTCTGACCACCCCAGGCCCTTGGCCTCCCCTTGAACAAGGTGCTGCCCTGGCACCTTAAACACAGCTCCTTCATCGCAAGACCAGACCTGCCCCAGCTCAGTTGTGTTTCTCCTACTGCACAGTCAGCTCCTTGAGGGCAGGGACCAACCCTCGCATGCGTGACACCTCCCCTGCCCCCAGGGCTGGGCAGAAGCACAGCCGCCTTTTGCAGAAGTGTGCTTTCTAAAATGAGGCAGAACCCCAGCCCAGCCCCCTTCCCTGCTGGCCTGTCCCTGGCTAAGGGTGGGGTGAAGGGGATGGGTGGGGCAGGAGATGGGAGGGAGGGAGGACACACCTTGCCTGGACAGCACAGTGACGGGGATGCCGGGGTCACTGAGCTTGATGAAGGGGCCGCACTCGCTGTCAGTGCCCTCGCGGGCCAGGAGGAGGTTTTTAGTGCACACATTTCCGTGGACCAGATCTTTATCCTCCTGCAGAGTGAAAAGGCAGAGCTCAGCAAAGTTGCCCATGGAGCTGCCCTCCTTCCCACTGTCTCTCCTGTTTCCCACAGGTCATAATCCACATTCCCCAGCCCCAGCCAGACCCGGGCAGCTTAGCTCTCCTGCCGATGATCTGTGTGACTCAGGCACATTATATAACATCCCTTTACTCCAGTTCCCTCATCAGTGAACCAGGGATAACAATGGAGCATGCCTCATAGGGCTTCTGTGAGAATTAAAGTGATTATCAGAGCCTGAAAAACACCTGAACAGCTGAGCCATGGTAAGCACTCAATAAATGTGAGCTACTATTGATGCTAATAGTTTCATTCACTCATTCAACAAGTACTGTAATATTTCTACTCTTATTATACACTGCAGTATGGAAGTCAGTCCTCTGAAGTGATAAAAATTTCCCTCTAAGCAGGATTCATATGTAAGCACACAGAACAGCCCACGATGATGGCTTTCACTAAGCACCAGGCACACCTGTGTTTAGGTGAAGAGCCTGGGCTCTCCAGCCTGCTTGGCTGGTACCTCCTTCCTGCCTCCCCACATTTTGGTTCCTGATGGGGACCACCACAGACATCAGAACATACTTACCAAGTAACTCAGGGCGCTGGCCAGCTGTTTGGCAACTTTGAACTTCCAGGGTGTGGTGAGGACATCACTTTTCCGGTGCATGAAGAGATCCAGGGGCCCTCCCTCCACAAACTCTTCCACCATGATATCTACAAACACAAGAACAGCCACACCTGCAACCTTCTGTCCATCTGGGACAGCACCCTCCCTCATCCCCTTACGAGAGCTCACTTTAATGGCTGGTACTCCGCCTGGGGGTGCCAATGGTAGAGTGCTTCAGAGTCGGAAGGGCCTGGGTTCAAGCCCAGCCTGGAGCTCCTCCTACTCTGACTCTCTGGGCAATGAACTCAGCTCACTCACTCCCTACCTCCCGAGTCTAGCACAGCGTGGGGCCCAGAGCTGGCAAGAAGTAAACACTCAAGAAATTAGTGAAAAACAGATGGGATCTAGTTCCATGTCCACTATTAATGTAAGCAACCGACCTGCTCAGTACTTTGAATTCCTTGATTGCAAAAAGAAAGGCAAGAAGCCTGGGGGACGTGAAGGGGGGTATCAGCTCCCACTCATCTTCACAGCAACCATGCTCCCTGGCCAGGGCCGACTTCCCCTTCCAAAGAGAATACACTTACTCTCCACGTCTCGGACACAAACGCCATAGAGGTACACGATGTGTTTATGGGAGACCTGTCTCATCATGCTGGCTGCCTCAAAGAAGGCCTGTGGGAGAAAAGGACAAAGAAATGTCAAGGGCCGGCCTGCACTGGTCTGATCCTAAAGGGGCTCAGCTGAGAGGAAAGTCAGTGGATCCCAGGAAAGGTCACCACTGTCCTCATCCCAAGCCCTGAAACTACTCCCCTGGCCTCAACTACCCAGAGGCACTGCCAAGCCTCAACTGTGAGGGCCGTCTAGCTGGGACATAGGACTCATTTAGAAAACCTAATAGGATGCAGAGCCAGGCTGGCGGGATAGGCTGGCTGACAACGTCCCCATTCGATACTCATGTCCACCACTTCCTCTTCCTTCAAACTTTGGGAAATAACGTTTGACACTATATTAGAATAAAAGGAAAACCAAGGCAGCAGATGTCTGTCAAGACTTGGCTTTACCACTCTCTAACAGTTTGTGGGATCCGGGGTAAGTCATTTTACTGCTCTGGGCTTTACTTTCCCAGACTCTGAAGTGACAGCCTGGACTGCATCAGGCACTTTGAGACCACTCAGCTAGAGTCTGGGGCTCCACGGCATTGCCACATGGACCTCCAGGAAGGAAATGGGAGAGAGTGGGACGTACTGGGAGGGACAGGCCCAAAATCAGGGCAAAGGCTCTTCTTAGCCCACTGTGCTCTACTGGCTCCAGAAATGAGGGAGGGGAGAGGGTGGGGTTGTGAGGAAGACACTTGCCAGAGAAATGTCCCTGTGGCTGGGGTCTAAGACTTTGAGGATCACTTTTATTCTCTTCTCTTCGGAAGTTCCTTCGTCATCCTTGTAATCCATGAGGGTCCCAGAGTAGATGTGTGTCCGCGTGCCTCTCCCAAGGTGCTCGCCCTGAAGGAGGAAGCAGGAAATTAGGGTGACCACCCCCTAGGGCTTCAGTGGTGCCAGAGTCTGGGACTGAGTCCTCAGTGGGAGCATACATTAGCAGGGATGGGGCAACGGCAAAGGGGCCCCAGGAGCTCAAGCCTCTCCAGTGCCTGGTCCTGTCAGGCCTCCAGAGGTGACAAAAAGCTACTTGACCAAACACAGCTGTGGCACTCCCTGGGCCCCAGGAAATAATCCTCATATTCTCTGAACAGCAACACGCTATCTACCTCCAGGAACAGCCTGGGGCCGAAACATAACCCTGACCTTTCACAAAACTTCCAACAGTGCCATCAAAAGCCACCAACATCAGCCCCCACCCAGGCCTCCAGAACAGACTCAGAGAGGACCTCCCTCCCCCCTCCCCCAGGAGGCTCCTCCACTCACAGGCTGGGGTACAAAGAGAACAGGCTTGTGAGCCCTACTGCTTCCTGGCCTTTTAACTTCGAGACCTCCTTTCATCACGCTCAATCGGCACCCACTTTCTGTAAATGGGTTAACGTAACAATGTACCTGCCTCGTAGGGTTGGTGTAAGAATCAAATGAGGAACTAGGTAGAACACCTCCTGGCGCACAGTGGGTAGAAGCCAATCCACTGGGCCAGTGTGTTTTGTCTGATCGCCCTCTCACACCTAAACTATTCATTTTCTATCCATCTATCTGATGCATGGGTGCACATGTGCATGCTTTCAAATCAGTGATACAATTTATACATACATATGCCCTAGCAATCCCCAGAGGAAGGTGATGTAAAGACAGAGGCAGAGACTGGAGGGACAGGCCTCAGTTTCCCCACATATGAAAAGGGATAATAAAACCAAATAAGCAGCATAAGAACTAAATGAGATCATCTGCTCAAGGCCCCGAACATATAATGATCTGTCTCTAAGGCCGTTCCAGCTTAAGCTTTAATAATTATGGTTTAAATACTCTTAATATTTGAAAATCAAAATGTGATTCATGAAACTCAGGCATTGTCAGGCTATCGACATTAACCCCACAAAACTTATTATTTGGAGTTCTATTATTCTATTATCCTAGGACCACCTATAAATGCAGAAAATGCATTGTGGCTGACTCCCTCAGCTGATTTCTGTCTCCCTCAAGAATGTACACAATCGGGCTTCCCTGGTGGCGCAGTGGTTGAGAGTCCGCCTGCCGATGCAAGGGACACAGGTTCGTGCCCCGGTCTGGGAGGATCCCACATGCCGCGGAGCGGCTGGGCCCATAAGCCATGGCTGCTGGGCCTGCGCGTCCGGAGCCTGTGCTCTGCAGCGGGAGAGGCCACAGCAGTGAGAGGCCCACGTACCGCAAAAAAAAAAAAAAAAAAAAAAAAAATGTACACAATCGTTAACTGGGTATATTAATTTGCACAAACACCACCATCTGTCATCTGTCATAGCAGAATGGTGATACATCCGCCCTGTCTCCTATATCCTGGCAAGGTCCTGTGACTATTCATTAAAGCTGCATGTGTCATGAAGCGATACATCAAGATTATGGGAAGTTGCATTCCCAGAACATCCCACAAAAGCCATATGCTTTCAGAATAATTACTCTTCCTCGGAAGGGGTGCTTATTCCAGGGCCAAGTCATATGGCTCTGTGCTGTCAGGATTCCACAGCAACCCGGAGGCCCCTGCGTGTACCACCTCAGCCTCCCTCCACGCTGCGCCTTCTGCCTTTGTCTAGCGCTTGTCCATCCTCTGGGGCTCTGCTTTGATGCCACTTCCCCCAGAAAGCCACTGCTGTCCCCGCAAGACTAGGTAGGATGACCATCTGACAGTCCCACATCCTGCCATACTTCCCTACTTAGGGCTTGTCTCCTGGTGGTATAATTATCTGCTTAAGATAGACGAGAGTCTGCCTCGCCCACCGGACTGTGAGCCTGCCAAGGGTGGCTGTCATGCCTGGCGTGGGCAACTGCTCAATCACTGTTGGCTAAATGAACGCTGCAGGTGCAGAGGGTGGTAATCTGCCCAGAGACTCAGGGGCAAGGACAGAAGGAAGACCCCAAGTACATGTCAAGTTCCAGGCAGAAAAGAGGCTGGGGTACTGCTGATCTGCTATTTTAATCTCTGGACACAGCTCTGATAACCACCAGAGGGACAGAACAGTAAGATCTGGCCCTCAGGCCCTCAGTGAAGCATTTACATAAGTGAAGCAAGGCACTTGCAGCTGTGGACTTCCACTCCGTCAAAACCTCCCCAACAATTTCAGGGACCGGCTTCAAACAGTAAATGAACAAGCCAGCCCCACGTTTGCCACCCTCCGCCAGGCTCCTCAATGACAGTGAGCCCACGATTTCCCCTCCAACACCTCCAAGGTGATGCAGCCTCTGCCGGGCAGTAAGTGGCCTATGTGGATTCATTCCCTCCAAGGCTGCTGGCACGCCACCCCCTTAGCCTCCCCGCCCTGCGTGTGGCTCTGTGTAAGGGGCTGGGGAGGGGGATGCAGAACGGGAAGTGGGGGTTCCATGGGCCTCACACCCTAGCAAGGCCCAAGGGCAGCTACGACAGAAACTGGGCCTGCCTAAGGCTGCAGACTCTGGGCAAAGGCCTCCCAAGGCTGGGACACTGGTCTGAGGGATCTGATTCTCAAGACAGTTCTCCTCCAGGGTGCATCTCCTGCTCCCTCACTGTGCTCTGTGTGCCCCCAGCTTTGCTCCTTCTGCAAACGTCATCAGAAAGCCCAGGACTGAAATTCAGAAGTGCTTTTTCACACAGCATGTTTTGGGACAATGAGGGTCATCAGCCCATACTCCCCTGTGGAGACCTGTCAGCATTCCCACCAAGTTCTCCAGCTACTTCTACCTGCAGAAGACCAGGCATGGAAGGTCCCTATTACCCTAGATAACCCTGCAAAGCTTGATTAACCCAGCTCTTTCAAGGAGAAAGCAAGCCTCTAGGGCGCATCAGCAAGGCCGGGTTGGACAGCAGGGAACTGGCTGACCAGCTTTACCTATCAAGCGGAAGTCTTGCTCTTCTTCCACCAGGGTCTCCCCAAACCCGACTTCATCCTCCCCACATTCCCCAGGCTTTTCTGCTGTGGAAAGGCAGGACCAGGGCTGGACCTGCAGCAGTGACTCACCTGCATAATATCTTTCTTGAGGATCCGATCAAAACTCAGCTGGCTCATGGGGTAGACAGGCTGCCACTCCTGGGCTTTCTTGGTGGCCACCAGCAGATTGGAGATTTCTATGGAAGAGAGAGGAGAAGTCTGAGCAGAGCAGCGAAGGTCTAAGGTCCCAGTTGGCCAACATCTGCTGGGCCATGGGCTTGCTGAATACATACTTGTGCATTTGTTGGTTCAGTCATTCAACAAATATTTACTAAGTACTTGATTCCCACCCTCCAGGAGCTCACAGGCTAATAACAGAGCCAATACGAAACAAATAATCAACCAATCAAAATCTGTGCAGCTATTCTTAAAGGGCAGGTACAGGCACTCCAGGGTTGACACAGCAGGATCTGTCCTGGTAAAAGAGGTCAGGGGAGGAAACGGAAACTCCAAGAATGTAGGGCCTGTGTCCATCTTATTTCCTGCTCTACCTCCACAGCCTGGTACACAGTATGCACTCAGTAAATACTTGTTAAATGTGTAAATGAATAATCAGGGTGTGGGCTGAAGGATGAGAGCTAAGGATGGAGGAAGCACTTTGGGAGTGACAGGAACCAAAATTGGGGGGTGAAAAACACAAGTTTTGTGAGGAACAGGGCGGGTGACCCCAAAAGAAGGTCACGCCTGAGCGTCTCTGGGCTCCCAGCAGCACCTGACAACAAGGAGGCACTTACTAAATCCTGGGTGAATGTACAGATTTTGAGCAGACCATCCCCCAGATTCTACTGATTCAAACAGCAAACCAAACCCATTACAAAATGTGCCGAGCAGAGTCAGCACAGGTGGCTAACGGAATTTATAATCCACGGAAGCTGCCTTCCCTCCATGGAGCCACTGCAAGCTCCAAGGTTATCGTGAGGGAAGAAAGCACCTTCCACATTCGAACTAGTAGTGCGAGTATTCTAGGAGCCCCTGAAGGTTTTTATGTGTTCATTCACTAGCTGCGAGTACCGGGTCCCTACAGTGAGCCAAGTGACTCAAATCCTCACTACCCTGCAAGGCAGGGTTTTTCTTTTGTTATTTCAGCTCATATTTTCTGACTGCTTTCTCTGCCAGGCACTGTCCTAAAGAGCTTTATACACATTAGCTCCTTTGTCCTTATGACAATCCTATGAGATACATAGTATACTTATCCCCTTTTATAGATCAGAAAACAGATTCAGAGCCATTAAACCATTTGCCCACAGTCAGGCTTAGGATTCATGCTGCATTCAGGACTGGCTCCAGTCTCTTACCTCCACAGACAGCATGCCTGGCCCCAGTGGGGGGTACAAATGTGGGAGCCAAAAACTGGTTCCGATACAGACTCCCTTGTTATCATATCCTGATACTCCCTTTTTCAGAGTCTCCTCTCCTTCATTCTGTTATCCTGACTCCACCCTGTTACCTGGGTAAAATCAGGTTCAAACAGGCAACTCAGGACTGCCCTGATGGAGAAAAGACATCAAGAAAGGGCCACTTGAATGGTGCCCTCAAGGAAGGGTCTGGGCAATAGAGCCATCGAGGAAATCAGGAGGATGGCAACAGGAACCATTCATGGGCTGATTATTTGCATGGCCACTTCAGGAAACATGGCACTAGGGTCAACTGTGTGAGCAGGGAAAGCTGTTAAACCTCCATGGAATCTGTTTCCTCACTAGAAAAATGGGGGACACAGTCATGCCCCTTGTTGGGTTGCTGTGAGGGATAAACGAGATGACACACATGAAGGGCTTACTTCAATCCCTGGTGTGAGGTGACTGCCCCATAACCAGCAGCCACTGTGACTATGACCAGTGTTACATTTGTTAGCACCGTCATCCTTGCTGTACCAGCTGGTTCCTGAAGCCTTGGCAATAATCTACAGCAGTCTTCAGTGTCAGAGCTGGACGGTGCAGAAATCAAGCTTCAAGCTTGACTCCATGAATGAGGACATGAGAGGATCAGTGGCGACTGGTCAGTAGGTCCTGTGGGCCCCTATCTCCTTCTTAACATGGTCACCCTCAGATTTGGAGAGCAGCAGTGGGGCTGGGCAATGCACAAGAGACGTGGACTTTCTTGACTGTCACACCCACTCTGAGTGACCACCTCCTTTTTATTTATTCCATGAGGAGTTTCTTGGTTGCATTTTCAAGTGTGAAACCCAGGTTGGGGTCTGGCCATCAGAAGCCTGTGCTCAGAAGGGCCGAGGCACTGAGGAACCCAAAATGGCATTCTCTTTAGTTTTCATGATTTCACCACTTCTCTAATTTGCAGGTGGCAGAGGGAAGACAGAGGGCTTCTGAGGGCCTATGTGAAAAAGCCGCACACACAGGGCTTAGTCTAGCTCTCCCATCCACAGCACCCTTATCCCCAGGGTCAGGAGAACTGACCCCCACCCCAGAGTTTTGGGCTTGATGACTGCACCTGTAACTTTGCAGAGTGTTATGTAGGGGAAAGAGTTGGGGTCAGAAGGCGTGAGTTCAAATCCCCATGCTTCCTCTAACTACCTAAGTGATCTTGGATAAGTATAATGGATAACAACATACTCTGGTTTGTTCTGAGGATTAAATAACTTAAAACATGAAAGAACCTCAAACGGTGCCTGGCAAATTTAAGAATTACTCACGTGATAGTAGCCATCATCATCGTTATTAGTTACTGCTACTCTTTTTTTCTTTTTCTTTTTGTTGTTTTTTTTTACTGCTACTTTTATTGTAACTTCTAGTGATACTACCATCTGTGTGGTTTTGAACAAGTCAGTGAACATCTCTGATCCTTAGTTTCCTCATTTTTATAACAGCTGCAAAGAGCTACTGTACAGATTTTTTTTAATGCAAATATGCACATAAACTGCTTGGGACTGGCAGGTACCCACCAATATGGTAGCTACTGCTGTAATTATTCACTCAACGGACATTAGTGAGCACCCATTCTGTGCTGGGCACTGCACTTCCCATGAATCATCGTGGTGAGACCCAGATCCTGTCTTAAGAGTTTATAATCAAAGTGGAGAGACAAACACTGAACACATTCAGTGCAGAGTTCCAGGAGCCTCAACAGAAGCCGTGAGAAGGGTTCAGTTCTGTTTCTGTGCTTCTCCCACCACAGCCACTGGTTTCCAGCTCTGGGCCAGCAGGGGTGGCATCTATACCAGAAACCTCCCCAGCTAATCCCAGCATAGAAATCACATCCCTGCCTCCGAACTGCCACTACCTTCCCGCTTCCTGTGGCTGCTGTTCTCCATTTCCTAAGCCTCACCCAGAGCCCACTAATCCCTAGGAAAGTGAAAACCGCCTCTAATATCTGGAAGGATAGATTATGTGAGTAATTGGGGCTGTTGGGCTCTAAGGTTATAGTGCACTCCGAGGTCTCACAGCCAAGTGGCAGATGTGTTTTTACCTTTGCAGAATATCTTCAAGCACAAAAACAAAGGCTGCAGTTACTCCCCAAGGCTGGCAGGAAACCCTATATGAGCAACAAGAACACAGAGTCTTTCCTCTTTCACCAGGTTCAGTGACAGTGTCTTACTGGGAGACCAAAAAGCGATTCAAACATCAAGCACCCAGGCCCCTTTTTGTGCTGGTGTCGCTTCTTCTGCCCACCCCTGTCATAAAGACTCACAGATGCATTGTGTAATAAGACAGACTGCTCAGAGTATCTTTGACCACACTTGCTACGGCCTCAGGAACAACTGTGCTGCCCTTTCCTTGAGGCCTGACTCCTTCTAAGGGAAGGACCTGACATATGGAGGGCAGTAGCTTGTGGCAGAGAAACATCAAAAAAACCCGCCAGTATTCAAGGGATCTGACACTGGGAGAAGACCTGGCACTCAAACCCCTTTGACCTTGGCTTTCAATGAGGCCCACTTCACTTCTCCAGGCCTCAGTTTTCTCTTCTATAAGACGGGACTCTTGATCAGGTGACTCCTACGTGTCCTTCCAGTTCTCACATTCTAAGAGGTGATGAATCCACCTGCCGGACATCAATGACACTGTTGGTGGGGCTTAAAAAAGAGCAGCCAATCACTGGGGAATTCTACCAAACATACAAAGAAGAACTTATACTGATCCTTCTCAAACTCTTCCGAAAGACTGAAGAGGAGGGAACACTCCCAAAGTCATTCTATGAAGCCACCATCACCCTGATACCAAAACCAGACAAAGACACCACCAAAAAAGAAATTACAGGCCATTACCTTTGATGAATATAGATGCAAAAATCCTCAACAAAATACTAGCAAATGTAATCCAGCAACACATAAAAAGGATCACACCCTATGATCAAGTTGGACTCATCCCAGGGTGACAAGAATGGTTCAACAAACACAAATCAATCTATGTGATACACCACATTAACAAAAGAAAAGACAAAAACCACATGATCATCTCAACAGACACAGAAAAAGCATCTGATAAAATTCAATCTCCATTCATGATAAAAACTCTTACCAAAATGGGTACAGAGGGAACATATCTCAGCATAATAAAAGCTACTTATGACAGACCCACAGCCAATATAATACTCAACGGTGAAAAGCTGAACACCTTCTTGCTAAAATCTGGAACAAGACAAGGATGCCCACTCTCACCACTTCTATTCAACATAGTACTGGAAGTCCTAACCACAGCAATCAGACAAGAAAAAGAAATAAAACGTATCCAACTTGGAAGGTAAGAGGTAAAACTGTCATTATATGCAGAAAACCTGAAAGACTCCACACAAAAACTACTAGAACTGATAAACAAATTCAGCAAGGTAGCAGTATACAAGATAAATATACAGAAATTGGTTGCACTTCTTTACACTAACAATGAAATATCAGAAAGGGAAAGTTAAAAAACAATCCCGTTTAAAATCACATTAAAAAAAATACTTAGGAATAAACCTGAACAAGGAGGTGAAAGACTTACACACTGAGAACTATAAAACATTGATAAAGGAAACTGAAGATGATTCAAAAAAATGGAAAGATATCCCATGCTCTTGGATTGGAAGAATTAATATTGCTAAAATGGCCATACTACCCAAAACAATCTACAGATTCAATGCAATCCCTATGAAATTACCCATGACATTTTTCACAGAACTAGAACAAATAATCCTAAAATTTATATGGAACCACAAAAGACCCAGAATTGCTAAAGCAATCCTGAGGAAAAAGAAGAAGGTGGAGGCATAACCCTCTCATACTTCAGACAATACTACAAAGCTACAGTAATCAAAACAGCACAGTACTGGCACAAAAACAGACATATGGATCAATGGAACAGAATAAACAACCCAGATGTAAACCCAGACACCTATGGACAATTAATCTCTGAAAAAGGAGGCAAGAATATACAATGGGGAAAAGACAGTCTCTTCAGCAAAGTGGTGTTGGGAAAGCTGGACAGCCACATATAAATCAATGAAGTTAAAACACTCCCTCACACCATACATAAAAATAAACTCAAAATGGCTTAAAGACTTAAATATAAGACACAACACCATAAAACTCCTAGAAGAGAGCATGGGCAAAACATTCTCTGACATAAATCATACCAATGTTTTCTTAGGTCAGTCAACCAAGGCAATAGAAATAAAAACGAAAATAAACAAATAGGACCTAATCAAACCTATAAGCTTTTGTACAGCAAATGAAACCATAAACAAAATGAAAATACAACCTACAGACTGGGAGAAAATATTTGCAAATGATGCAACCAACAAGGGCTTAATTTCCAAAATATATATAAACAGTTCTTACCACTCAGTAACAACAACAGAAAACCCAATCAAAAAATAGGCAGAAGACCGAAATAGACATTTCTCCAAAGAAGACACACAGGTGGCCAATAAGCACATTAAGAGATGCTCAACATCATTAATTATTAGAGAAATGCAAATCAAACTACAATGAGGTATCACTTCACACCAGTCAGAATGGCTATCATCAAAAAGTAATAATACAAATAATAAATGCTGGAGAAAGTGTGAAAAAAAGGGAACCCTCCTACACTGTTGGTGGGAATGTAAATGCTGCAGCCACTATGGAAAACAGTACGAAGATTCCTAAAAAATCCAAAAACAGAGTTATCACATGATCCAGCAATCCCACTCCTGGCACATATCCAGAGAGAACTCTAATCTGAAAAGATACACACACCCCCAATGTTCACAGCAGCACTATTTACAATAGCCAAGAAATGGAAGCAACCTAAATGTCCATTGACAGCGGAATAAAGAAGATGTGATATATACACACACACACAATACATACACACACATACACAATGGAATATTACTCAGCCATAAACAAAGAAAGAAATAATGCCATTTGCAGCAATGTGGATGAACTTAGAGATTATCATACTAAGTGAAGTCAGACAGAGAAAGAGAAAAATCATATGATACCACTTATATACGGAATCTAAAAAAATGATACAAATGAACTTATTTACAAAACAGAAACAGACTCACAGACGTAGAAAACAAACTTATGGTTACCAAAAAGGAAAGGGAGTGCAGGGAGGGATAAATTAAGTTTGGGATTAGCAAATACAAACTACTACATACAAAATAGATAAACAAGGTCCTACTGTATATCACAGGGAACTATACTCAATCTCTTGTAATAAACTATAATGGAAAAGAATCTGAAAATATACATATGTACGTGTGTGTGTGTGTATATATATATGAGAATCACTTTGCTGTACACCAGAAACTAACACAACACCATAAATCAACTATACTTCAATTTAAAAAAAAAGAGCAGCCAAGTTCCTCACCTCTCCTATCCAATTTACTCTGTGATCCACCCATGGCTCCCCACTGCCTGCATGATAAAGTCCCAGCTCCTTGGCATGGCATCCAAGGCCTCCCATGGTCCCAAATCTCTGCTCTCTCAGTCTCCCCTTTCCCTTCTTTCTAACTTCACTGAACACATTAGTCCTCTAGAACCTTTCTGCAGCCCCTGCTTTGGCCTGCTGCTTTGCCCTGCACATGCGTGCTGGGAATGCCCTTATCTAACTGGCCACCTCCTGTTCACTGTCCAACATTTGGCTCAAGATCCACCTCCTCTGTGTAGCCTTCCACGCTATGTGACTCAGGGATCTTGACCATCTCCTTCTCTGCAACCCCAGGGTCTAATATGTGTGTGTGTGTGCATGTTGATTTAAACACCCATCACACGCTACAGTGGCCTCATTTACCTGTAACATTTTCTGTATTAGGCTAGAAACCCTTGGGGCGCAGAGACTGAGTCTCATGCATTTCTGACTCTATGCACCTAACATAGTTCTTGGCCCACAGAAGATGTGCCAGGATCATCTCTCAGACAGGTAAACCACTGACGGCAACTTAAGACATTTTATCAAAAGGAAGAAAGAAGTAAATTTCTGCTTACTAATCCTAAACATGCCTCTTTCGGCAGCTTAATTAAGATACTGAGAAAAGGTGTATGTCTTTTCTATAGAAAATGCTGACACCTGAGGAGTGGGATGTGCGTCAGAGACAGACTTGTAACAAAACTTAATGAAAAACACCTAGAAACTGTGGGGGAAAGACCACTTTCTTCAAAGCACCCAGCATCTTTTGTTTGATCTGGGTCTCAGAGCATCACGAGGGGATGCAGCCTGGCTCTGGCTTGAAGAGACTGACCTCGGGGCTTGGGCTGGCAGCAGCGCTTCAGCACAAAGCTGATGTTGTCCGTGCGCAGGATCTGCTTCTTCAGGTGGCTCATGAGGTCTCCAAGGCTGGGGAAGCTTCGGTCTGAGCCATGCAGGCTGTAGCGGCCCTTCTGCACCTCAATCTGAAAGTTCTTGAACTGCTTCTGGACACCCAGCAACTGCCATTCAAGAAAATAATCAGAAAGGATTTGTTTTAAAAAGGGCTCAAGCAAATCTCTCATGGGTATGTATGATGTTAACAACAGGAGAAGCTGGGTAGAGGGCATACAGAAACTCTGTACTATCTCTGTAATGTTTCTGTAAAACTAAAATTATTCCCTAATAAAAAAGCTTATTATAAGTAAATGAAATAATAACTAATAAAGGAGATCCAGGAGAAGGCACTGATAAAAGGGAGTTAACACCAAGGAGACAACCTGACAGCAGTGATTTCTACAAGAGAATCACTTCATTTTGGCACTTAAGATGAACTTCATGAAAACACCAACCTCATAGGACTGCTGCTAAGATTATATGGCAGGGCCCGTGTAAAAACGTTAGTAAACACTTTTATAAAGGTTAGCACATATTATGCACGAAATAATAAGTACTACAGAAAAATTTATCCAGGAACTCCCTCAAACTGAGCTCTTCCAAGAACCTCCTGGGAGGTGGCAGACAGCTGTCTGGTCTGGTTTCCGAGCTGTATGGTGCCCCATAGAGGAAGTATAAGCAGAAGTTTTCCTTCATGACAACTTCTGTACAAAGGGAACTATTTTAGTACTTTAGTGGTTAAGAATGAAGGCCAGGGGCTTCCCTGGTGGCGCAGTGGTTGTGAGTCTGCCTGCCGATGCAGGGGACACAGGTTCGTGCCCCGGTCCGGGAAGATCCCACATGCCGCGGAGCGGCTAGGCCCGTGAGCCATGGCCGCTGAGCCTGCGTGTCCAGAGCCTGTGCTCCGCAACAGGAGAGGCCACAACAGTGAGAGGCCCGCGTACCGCAAAAAAAAAGAATGAGGGCCAGAAAGATCTACTCACGCTGTAAACTAGGACAAGATATTTAAAATCTTAATGCTTCAGCTTCTTCATCTGTTCAATGGGGATAATACAACCTTATCTCATGGGGCTAGTGTAAGGCTTAAATGAGAATATACAGGAAAAGAGCTTAGCACAGTGTCTGGTGAGCTAAAATAAATAGTAGGAGTAATCCTATCTATGGTTCCTGTTTTCCCCAGGTAATCTGATACCAGGTAGACTATGTTACTGAATCACTGACATTCTCAGTACAGCACAGGTCAATTCCACCTTAAAAGGTGGTTGGGCCGTCTCATGCTCACATCTGTGATAAAAATATTAAATTTCCTCCAAAGACTGATGGAATGCAGAAGAAAGGGATCCTGCTAAGGCAACAGGCCTGCCAAGTGCTGAGCCACTGCACCCGTTATCAGCCACAAGGCTGAGCTGTACAGGAGCACCCCAGGCGAGCAGTGGCCCCTACAGACTTCACCTATGACTCCTGGCAGCACTGAGTTCCTTCTGCCATTTCCTCTTCCACTCTTGACTGAGTCCAGCCCCAGAGATTCTCTAGTACTTTTCCTTCCAGCATCTGAGGTCTGCAATATGCTAACATGCTGACTCTCATCTTGCAGCCCCTCCCCTGCCCCAATTCTCCTAGTTCATGGTGAACCCACACAACACTACTGTATTTATTTGGACTCATTGTGTAAAACTCTTGTCTTTTAAAATAGCCCAGGACTTCCCTGGTGGCGCAGTGGTTAGGAACCCACCTGCCAATGCAGGTGACACAGGTTCGATCCCTGGTCTGGGAAGATCCCACATGCTGCAGAGCAACTAGGCCCGTGTGCCACAACTACTGAGCCTGTGCTCTACAACCCGCGAGCCACAGCTACCGATTCCACGTGCCACAATTACTGAAGCCCGCAGGCCTAGAGCCTGTGCTCCACAATAAGAGAAGCCACCACAATGAGAAGCCCGCGCACCACAGCGAAGAACAGCCCCCGCTCACCACAACTGGAGAGGGTCCGCACGCAGCAGCGAAGACCCGATGCAGCCAAAATAAATAAATAAATAAACTGACTGATTAATTAAAAAAAATAGTCCATTTCTTGTGTTTTAAAAACTTACATGAATAACAAAGCACTGTGGTCTAGTGAAGTCAAGTTTGCAATTTGGCTTCAGGATTTCTCTCACATCATTCCCAGCTTCCAACCACACCTGAGTCACTAACAGACATCTTGTCAAAACACATGTCAGTAATTTGTCTGTTAAAATGTCTGCACCTACCATCTGGGGACAACTGTGTTAGGCCAGGTTGCCAACAGGCCTCATTGGTGCTAGTCTGTACCAGTGAATGCCCAGACACAGCTCTGGGTCTGTGATGGTCCTGGCACCGAGTGTTTTGTGTGAGCTGGTTTTCTGGTCGTGTTCCACCTTCCAGAGCACAGGGACCCCTGCCATGGGTCCCTTGCAGGAAGAAAGAAAGGGCCATAAGGATGAAAGGGTATGGGGTATGGCTGCCTGGGAAGGGGCTCCTTTTGAGGCGCAGGCTGTCCCTGTCAGAACAGCCGGGGATTTTCTCAGAGCCCCAGGCTTTTCTACCCCCATCCCCCAAGGGTGGTCCTCCTGGATGAGAGGTTGCACTGACACCCTGTGGCCACATGGGTTGGCCCCAGCCACTGTCTTGACTGACCTCAGACTTTTCAAAGCAAGTGACGGTCATGAGGATGTTGTCGAAGTCGGTGCAGCTCCACCGCAGCACGTACATTCCCTCCTCGCTTCCTTCTTGCCGCAACTTATTGATGGCATATTCTGTGCTACAGGGAGAGAGGCAAAGAGAGAAAGCTCACCCCAAACAGAAGCACTCTAAACCCCATGGGATGTCCACTTCCTTGAGCTGCCTCAAGTCTGACGGCCGCTCACAGTACCTGTCCTGGGTCCTACCGTCGTCTCTGATATGAGACAGAGAGCTTGTCTCATATGCTTGTCCCTGACTTCCCCACACACGCCGCTTCCACTCTAGCCAGAAGAGCTCCCCCCAAGGCTGAGGATGCTGAGCTGCCCGTGATGCAGTGGTAGGAGTCTCTCCCCCCATCCCAGGCAGCACAACTAGAACAGAAGCCTCAGGATAGCATGGACTTGGAGTTGTTCTGTTTATTGCTGCATCCCCAATAACCAGAGCATGCCTGGCTCACAGTTCTCAATAAATAAGTGAACAACTGAATAATAAACACTGAATAAAGAAATCAAGGATCAGAAAGCTGTGAGTAGAGAGCCTACCTATCCTATACTCCCGTGTCCCCAGGACTAACAAGTCCGGCACACAGAGGGCAATGAGCAAACAGCTGCTAAATAAACCCACATATGAGGTTACTACACCCAGTGAGTTCTGCTCATTGAGTGTTGGTAAAAGAGGGCTGTGTGGTCAGCACATGTTAGAGAATGGCAGAGACCAATGGCTCCCTGGTGGTTGGGCAGTGAGGGTAGGCAGACAAGAAACAAACGGACACGTACATAAACTTAATATGTCAGGAGGTAATAAACGCCACTGAAGACAAATAGAGCAGAGTGAAGGAGACAGGGAGTGCGGGGAGCAGAGGGGGAAGAGGTGTCGTTGTTTTATATAAGGTGCTTGGGGAAGACTTTACCAGTTAGGTGGTATCTGAGTGACACCTGAAGGAAGTGGTGACTGCTGAAGTTCTGGAGGGAGGGTTTTCCAGACCAAGGGGAAAAGCAAGTGCCAAGGCCCTGAAGCCTAACTATAGTTGGCATATTTGAGGGACATGCTTTATTATAAAGCTCAACCCTTGCTCTGCAATTCCTTGGTGTGTCTGTCTCCCTGTGAGTCTGTGAGCCTCTTCAGGCCAGGGACCACACCACTGACAAACTGCCTGTCCACAAGGCAACTGGGATCAGGAAGAAGGTGGGAACCGCTTCATGTGAAAGGTGGCTGACGAGATGCTTCCACAGACACATTTCGGTCTGGAAGAGAGACTCCGAAGAAACACAGCAGCTGTTTTCCTGTGCCTGAAGGATGGTCACACGCAAGAGGAAGCAAACTGAATCCCTGTTGCTTCAAAAGGCGGAACTCAGATGAGTAGACAGAGTTACAGGGAGGCAGACTTCAACTCCCTATGAGGAAGGTACACATGTCTGTAACTGTCGGAGCTATAAGCTACTTGCTGCCAAGTGAAGAACCAAGTACCCCATCACCGGAGGTGTTTGAGATGCAGGTGGGACGAGATACCCAGCAAAGCCCCTCCCAACTCTAAGGCTTGGTCACCTTCACTGGGCCTTCTGGCACTGGAGGACACGCTGACTCGGGATTCTGTTACTACACCGTCTGCTGTCGAGACCTGTGCCCTGTCTTTCTTGAATCACCCACAGCGTCTGGCACAGTAAGGGGCTAGGAAGTGTAGCACTCCTTGGTCAGCTGTGGAGAAGTGAGGGGTTCAACTATGAGGACACCCAAAGAAGGGAGAAGAAGTGAGGGGCTGCTGCAAGGACCAAGGTAAGAAATGACAGGAAGGCCTGACCAGGACAGCAGGGATGGAAAAGGGCACCAAGTAAGTATTCAGCGTAAATGCCTGATGATGCCCATGCCTGAGAAGGACACGCTCCCCATCACTAACACGTGGGTTCTTTTCACACCAAAGGCAACTGAAAATGTTTTTGAACCAACCAGATTGGACCGTGACAGCCATTCTGTATGTTGTGGACGATCAACGGGGGAGCCACGTCGGTGCAGAGGTAATGATGGGCATCTGCTGTGAGCCGGAAGTAGCCGTCCACGAGGGACACAAAGGACAAGGCCTCCTCGTGGGAACAGAGCTTCAGTTCCTGGCGAGAGAGTAGAAATGCCCATGGTTACATCACATGCCTGCCATCTTAAGCAGCTGACTCTCTGGGGAGGTACAGAGTGAGAAGATATTCAACACAATGAAGAATGTACAACCCCAAAGGGAAGCTCTTTTTTTTTTTTTTAATTTTTTTTTTTTTTTTTTTTAAACCCCACATTTGTTTATTTATTTTTTTGGCTGTCTTGGGTCTTCGTTTCTGTGCAAGGGCTTTCTCTAGCTGTGGCAAGCGGGGGCCACTCTTCATCATGGTGCGCGGGCCTCTCACTATCGCAGCCTCTCTTGTTGCGGAGCATAGGCTCCAGACGCGCAGGCTCAGTAGTTGTGGCTCACGGGCCTAGCTGCTCCGTGGCATGTGGGATCTTCCCAGACCAGGGCTCGAACCCGTGTCCCCTGCATTGGCGGGCAGATTCTCAACCACTGTGCCACCAGGGAAGCCCGGGAAGCTCTTTTTGTCGATAGTAACTGCACCCCTTGCAGTTACATATAACTCTGTTCACCACACTCTTTCATCTCTTACCTCAAAACTTTTATCAGATTGAGAAACAGTGTGTGGGGGGGCCCACGGGCAGCTGTGGCAGGCAGGAGACTGTGGAGAAGCTGCCACCCGGTCCAGATGGAAGAGGAGGCCTGAATCAAGGTGGCAGAGGTATAAAAGTAGAGGTGGGGGGGAACATAATGTGCAGATGGCACCCTGGTCCTGGCACTACACATTATTCCTAGTTACAGAAAAAGAAACAGGGGCACAGGGGTTTCATCTCAACCAGAGTTGGTCTAGAAGGTGAAACTCCTGGATTTTAGTCCAGGAACGGTCCCAGACACAATGATAAGGTTTCTAGATTAAATCCAGGAACCTCTGAGGGTCTGGAGAAGGCACAGAGTCTTACTCAAAGTGGGAGAGGCAAAGGTAAAAGAAGAGGAGGGAGGGAGTTTCCATGGAAGGAAGAAAAACGCCTGGAGGTGAAGACAGGTGGGGTTTTGCCTTGATCTTACAACCCTGAGCAGAGATGACCATGTGAGAGGAGCTGCGGGGTCAACCAGGAACATCTGATGAAGGAAGGTTTGTAAAGCCATGATTTAGAGCTTTGTCTCACAAGAATATTAACAAACACCTGAGCCTTCAGAGAAGGGTAAAATGACACTTGAGTATATGACTCTTTCCTTTAGCACTGGAGAAAGAAGAGGCTGGTGGCAGAGAAAAGCAGACAGAGACAAGAAGACCAGTGAAGGCGGGAGGGGTGGATATACGCAACCAGACAGAATGGAGGTAAGGGGCTTAACGCGAGTTAGCTATGATGCCAAAGGAAGGGTGCTTTGGGGTTGTGAGACAAGGAGGCCAAGGGAGGGCAGGGAGGGCTACCATAGGGATGGCGATTCAGGAAGGAGGCTCTGTGCTAAGTGTGCTTCCTTTTGGGTGTGACCTGGCATCTCCCTGCAGAGCCCCAAAGAGCAAACTCAAGACGGTATGGCTTGGGCAGCCCTTCACGCAGTCACATACAAACAAAAGTACGTAAGCACTTAAGTTCTCTGAAAGCGGAAGCCTGAATAGAAAGGGGAGATGTCAAGAAGATGCAGAGAGAAGAGATAAATCAAGATATGATCTGATAACATGGCAGCATCATGCTCTCCTGAAAGACCAGCAACCAAAGTACTGCTTGGAAATGCCATGGCTGGGAAGGGATGGAGGAGTGAGATAAGTAAGAAAAAGCATCACACAGTGTTAACCCACAGGTTCAGGAGCCAGCTTATCTGGGTTCAAATCTCCGTATCTCTACTTGCTATTACATTTAAGCATATATAATCATCATTTTTATTCGTCAAAAATTGTCAAATATTGGCAATTTCAAGTAATTTAATGTAATAGCTGTATGACCTTGGACAAGTTACTTAACTTCTTTGTGCCTCAGTTTCCTCCTCTGTAAAATGGGAATAACAATATACCCACCTCATAGGGTCAATATGAAAATGAAAAGAGTTGGTATTCGTAAAGCTTTAAGGTAGGAAATACCTGGCACACAGCAGGGCTAGTATTTGTAAAGGAAAACAAGGTAACGAGGAGATCAGGTATCGATTTCTTCTTGCCTTCCCCCTGCTCTCTGCACAGCACTGTAGCTGGGCACAGAGCTGCCAGCCCCTGTGCCAGGGTGAGCACTGACTTAGACGACAGGTGCCCCATCTGGGTGCCAGACTTGACTCTGTCAGCCAGGACAGATGGGGCAGGCTCACAAAGCTCGCATCAGCTGGCTGCAGTTCCTCCTCCCCTGCCACGCATCTCCAGGGTTTGGCCATGCTGGACAGCCAGACCGCAAATGGGCCAACCTCTCCCTCACTACAGAGTCCCTGGGGAAGAGAACACCGTGGAAACCAAAGCAGTGCAGGCTGGAGCTGCCCCTGTGCAAGCTCCTACACCTCTCCCTAAGTCTCAGATTCCCCCCTGGAAGTGGAGCCAAAATCCTGATATCTTAAGGTCTTTGTAAGGACTAAATAAGATACTGCAGACACATCATATAACATGACTTAAGATCTATAATATGCTGAATAAATAGCATTTATTTTTATTTTCTCCCTCCCACCATTTTCCATCTCTCCACTAACATCTATACGGGCTCTTCTACATCCTTCACGTCTTTACTACAGTTTTCTAATGAAATCAATGTATCTTTATTGTTTAAAAAAATGGGGAGGATGGGGAGAATTAAAAATTAAAATCACTCATAATCCCATCATAAACAAATAGTTGTTAATATCTGATTATTTTTCTAAGAGCATGTGTATGTATATGCATAAATTTTTTAAACAAAATTGGTTCCATTCTACCAATAGTTTTATATTCTTTCTTCTATTTATGAAGCATTTTTCCGGATTTTTTTTTAGTTCAGCAATTCATTTACATAATATTCTACTACTCAGATGAGTTGTGTTTTATTCTCTCGTTTTCCTATTATCATATATGCAGGTTAGTTTCAGTATTTTGACATTGTAAATACTGCTGGGATAAACATTCTCATTCATAGACCACTGCCTGCATCTCTCATTGTTTCTAGAAGACAGGTCCTCACTTCCTAAGGAGGGATTATATAGATAGTTTCAAGGCTTTTAACACATGTTTACCAAATTGCTTTCCCAAATGGTATATCAAAAAGACTAGTTACTCTAGATGTAAAAGAATGACCATCTGTCCTAAACCATATCACCAGATTCTTTCCCAGTACTGAGTGTTACGATTTTGACAAAGTATTTGCAAATTTTTAGGCAAAACATGGTATTTCCCTAGATGACTACCTTCATTGCATGGAGGAGCACCGTGTCTCACCCACCTGTCCTCCCCATGTGACGTCAGCTGTGACTTCCCCAACACAAACATGTTTATTCTGGCAGGACTCCCACTTCCCCTGCCAAACTGGGGAAGTGACTTCCCCTCCCTGTCTAGATCACGTCCTCAAGTGATACCAAAAAAAGAGGAAGAGAGGCTGAACACCCCTTCCTCTGTCCGAGAGTCACTTGGCTGTGCTTGACACCATGATGAGGACTGTCATTGTGGCCAGAGCCACCGGCTGGACAGTCTGCTCAAGTGCAAAGTGGGGCTTCCCACCGACCTCATTCCAGATGACCCACACAACTCAGCAGAGAGGCTGTGCAGGAGCCCTTGGGAGAAAATGCTGACACTCAGTGATGTGGATCTTCAAATCCACTAACTTTTGTGAACTAAATATTGATGCTGAAATATCTTTGGGAAGACAGCAAATCCTGAAGCAGATACACATTTGAAGACCAAAGAAAGGCACCAGAATGTACCCAAGTAACTTAAAAACAGACATTGATAATGTCAATGTCAGCAACAGGGACTTTCTGGCTTAAATAAGATGATCATAAGATTTTCTCTTTGGGACAGGAACCCTGAAGAACACATGCTGCATGAGTGTCCTCAGCAAAGTCTCCCTCCCAACACCAGACCCAGGCCGAACCACTTCTGAAGCAAACTTACCATTTTTTTGTTGTCCTGCTTATTAATGCTGACCACAGACTCCTTGATTACAATGTGAGTGATCTCAGGGAAGTAAGAAAAATTGTTCCACTCTTCCCGGATTTTATTTTTCTCCTCATCCTTCTTGTGTTTATTGTCCAGTTTTTTCCGTTTCAGTTTATTTTTTTCCTTTTCAACAGGAACAACCTGATAAGATACATAAAAGTGAAGTCAGCTTTCTCATTTTCTGTTGGTATTTCTCATTTTCTCCTGGCAAACCAACAGAAGGCCTGAAGCTGAGGAGGAGAAAGCCAGCGTGCCTGGATTGACAGAGGAACTGGGAGAGTTAGCACCCATGAGCCTATTTGGGTCCCCATGGGCCTATTGGTCCCATCAGGGATGCCTGGGATCCTACACCTGGAAGAGATCTTAATGAACACACTGACTAAACTCTTTACATAATCTATAATGTGCAAGCAAACTCAGGAACGGAAATAACTGCTCACTAACACGCATCTACAATCAGGTCCCCCCATTTGAACATAGGCTTTCTCCTTTTACAATCTATCACTGATTGTCTTGACTTTATAGCCATATTCAAGTTGGAATTTTCAAGAGAAGGTATGAATCCCATGCTTGGATAACCTAGGGAGTCATACATGTCTGCACAAGCTTACGTATTTTGTGTAGCAAAGTCTTGGAGACTAAAAATCTGGGATAAGATCCTGCTTCTGCCAGTTACTTAGTTAGGTCATCTCTTTGCGCCTCCATTTCCTCATCCATAATCAGAGATCTTACATCTTCACAAGGCTCTTGGAGCAGTAGGTAAGTTCTTATTAACACAGTACCCACACTACACAGAAAACACTTGATAAGTGTTTGGCACTGTTATTTTAGCATGAAAATAAAATAGGAGTAGAAAGTAAATCTCACCTTTACTTCAATATTATTATTATTTACAATAATAATGATGATGGTAATAGCAGCTATAATAATTTGTTGAACACTTATCATATGCCAAGCTCTGTGCTAAACGACATTCAGTTCTCTCAACACTATGAGGTAATACACTAAGTATCGCCATTTTATAGATGAATAATATGTGGCTGATATATGTGAAGTAACCCTCCCAAGGCCATGTGAGTATAAACAGTGGAGCTAGGATTTGAACCACATCTATTTAGATTTAAAACCCATGCTTTTAAACCACTCTGCTCTATTGCCTCATCCAACAAACACTTCAAAAAGAAGCTCCAAATTGCAAGAAAAATTACTCTATTTCACAGAACCAGAGGGCTAAATTCAATTCTTGGCATAATCACTATTAGTTAGTTATGACCTTGGGCAAGCTTCTTAACTTGTCTGTGCCTCTGTGTTCATCTATAAAATAGGGAAAATGGTAGTATCTCTCATAGATTTGTTTTAAGGAAAAATGGTAGTATCTCTCATAGATTTGTTTTAAGGAATAATTGAGTTAATACACGTAAAATGCTTAGAAAAGTACTTGGTACATGGTAAGCACTTGGTACATGTCTGCTGTTATTACTATATTATTACATATTGTATATGTTGTTATTATATTTCTGTTTCCCTACAGAACTCAATAAATATTTATTTTAGATCTACTGCTACATGGATACAATAAAAGATGAATGATACATGGTCTCTAGTCCATGAAATAAACTCAGCTGACAGGGGTGATGAACATGCAAAGAGATAATCCCAACAGAATACACGGAACACACCATGTGACACAGGATGCTCTGTTCTGATCAGCCACCTGTCAGCACTTACATTTGGTTTCTGCCTCCACTGGATTCCAAGATTTCCAGTCACCATCACTTCATAGCAGAGAATGTTTCCATTATCATTCGGATGGAACCGATTCATCTCATTTTCTGATGAAATCAGTAGCATGGAAGTCTCAAATATTTCAGCACCATAATGTTTTGTCAAAGTTTCCAAGGTAGCCAGGTATTTCACCTTCAGGTCATGTGTGGACACACTGCTGTCACAAATGGTCTTGTTGTTAAACTCCTTTAGGAAATCCTTGAAAACATTATTTATCCGCATCCTGGTGAGAAGGTTCCTCTGTCTGATGGACTTATTCAATGTTTCTGGTATATATCGCTTGTAGCTGAAAGTAAAAAAAAAAAAAAAGTCTCTTTTTCATGTATAGGTTAGCAGAATAGTGCAGAAACAAACCCAAGTCTATAAATCTTCCTTCCCTGTGTTGCCAAATGAGAAAGAAGGGTCTACTCCCAGAGGGTCTTAGATGGAGTAAAACTCTGAGGATGATAATCGTAAGGAGATTGAGGTGAACAGGGACTGAAAGAAAAGAGAAAAGTACATGTTCCACAGATTTTACTGAAATGGGAAATTCCTACAGGAATCATCAGATTTTCTGGGTCACAAAGGCAGGCAGCAAAATGCACTTATCTGTATTTTTGTTTGCTAGTGCCACTGTTCCCGTGCACACTGGTGCTCACATAAACACAGTTACTTAGATTCAGCATCAGTTAGAAAGCCATCTGGAAGGTGTCAAGAGTGATGGAAGATGTTTTGTATGCTCTACTTGCCTACCTATTTTACAGTTTTTCTATAAAGATCAAAAACTACTTTTATAAGAAATGGGAAAAACCCATAAAAGCTGATTAAATACAAAAGATTTAGTGTTTGCCATGTGCAAATGTCTCAGATATATTAAATGGATCAACAAGTAAACTGAAAGATTAGTTACCCATCCAGGTGCTAATGAGAGAGTATCTATGACTAACAGAATCTCAGCAAACGGATATACTGCTAGAACAGGAGCCAGCTTTAAGAAGAGTATGTACACCAAAGAAAAAGAGAACAAGTCCACTGGGGGTCAAAGTGGGGAGACCCGTCGGCCTGTTACTCCCAGGCCTGAAAAAGCACCTGGCACAGGGAAATCCCTGCCGCACAGATGGTTTCACAACCGTGGAAAACTGTGGAGTTTGAAATTTATCCCCAACAAATATTGTAATTTTTTAGATTAATGTAATAGAGAGGAAAATCAGAGGAGAGTTATCATTTTTTACTTTAGCCTCATGAAAAAATAAAGAGGAGGTGCCCAGAGCAAAAGCCACAGAAAACAGAGAAAGTAGCAGAACAGCATATGTCTTATCAGTCCCTCCATTTCTGAGGAGCAACTTGTGATCTGCTCCAGACTCTGGTCAAGGGCAAGGAGATACAAGAAGTAACCTTATGAGGAGATCCATGCCACCTATCGCAAATAACACCACTATAAATAATTCCCTCTTCAAAATGAGACTGTCTTATGACAATCACAATAGCTCACTGATTTAAAAATTATATTTCCAGACTTCCCTGGTGGTCCAGTGGCTAAGAGTCTGCACTTCCACTGCAGGGGGCACAGGTTTGATCCCTGGTGGGGGAACTAAGATCCCGCATGCGGCACAGTGCGGTCAAAAAAATAAAATAAAATAAAAATTGTATTTCATAGATGGGTGGGAGTTATGCAGATTGAATATTCCTTCACAAAGACTTGATCACAAATGATAATTTTAAGTAAATACAGTTTTCTTAAGGTAACAGTTGATCGTGCTTCACATCAGAATTAATGGCTCTCTAGTGAACTAGTTCTGGCTGGGAACGAAAGCGGCTGCCTGTAGAACTATACTGAGAAGGATTTTAGGACAGATCCAGCACAAAAGGAAAAAGTTCAGTGATAGATGGCAATGCCCAGCATGGGCAGAGAGGAAGGGGGAGGGCATGCAGGCCACTCATTTGACTGGCACCCCAGCTCAGAACTGTCACCCTAGTACAAATTTCTGAGGTCATCAGCCAACATTCAAAATCAGGACACAGTTACAGTTGTGCTACCTTTCATAAGTATTCTAAAAATGAGTTGCACTCTGCAGAGAGCAGTAGTCAGCCAAAAGCTGGCAGTAGTTAAACTGAGATATATGAGGAGCTTCCCTGGTGGCGCAGCGGTTGAGAGTCCGCCTGCCGATGCAGGGGACGCGGGTTCGTGCCCCGGTCCGGGAGGGTCCCACATGCCGCGGAGCGGCTGGGCCCATGAGCCATGGCGGCTGAGCCTGCGCGTCCAGAGCCTGTGCTCCGCAACGGGAGAGGCCACAGCAGTGAGAGGCCCGCGTACCGCCAAAAAACAAAAAACAAAAAACAAAAAACCCGAGATGTATGAAAACATACAAAAATAACACCATCCCCACAGTCAATTCTTTAGCCAGCAGGAAGGTTTACCTGATGTCCTTGGGAAGTTCTGGCAACTGCATCTTCTTCATCATGGCATAGTGGGAGATGGCCAGGACGGCCATTCCCAGACACTCGTTCTCAATATCATGCCCATCCTGCTCCGTCTTGGGGTCTCGAATGGGAGCCAGGCATTTGACCAAATCATACTGTCCCTTTGGAGCAGAGGTGAGAAGAAATGAACCACCACTTAAGTTTCAAGAGTCCACTCATGTTTCTGATCTTGAGAGGAAGGTTCCCCACACAGGGAGGTGCTACCCAATAAGCAGTACAGCAATGAGACTAACGAGATTTAGAGTTTCTCTGGCACCAAAGTTCTTTCTCAACAGCTGGGCATGAAGGGGCTTGGGAAAGGTCTCCCCAGGTTAATTCATTCGTTTAATAAATACTCACTGCGCACTATGCTGGGTGCTGGTGAACAGTATGAACACGTGAAGCCCTTCTGTGGGGCTTCCTATGTAAGCGATGATGAAAAGCAGCATGTACTAGGCTTGGGCTGCACCAGGGCATGGGATGTGACAGCTGTCTGGGGTTTGATTATTTGTTAACTCCACAACAAACCGGTGTATAAATGACAGAGCACCACACACCCTTCTGATGTAGATATACAGAAAGGAGAAGGAATCCAGATTCTACACTGCATCATTACCACACGTAAGTTTTTTCAACATCTGCTGTTCAAGTTTCCGGTAGTGGAATGTATCACCAAAATACACCCCCTCACTCATTGAGGCACGCCACATTCCACGAGCCAATGAGGGCTGCTAGGTCCCCTTTATAAAGCCCTAAACTGAGTGCCAGGCACTGTGCGAGGTTCCTCTCATTTACTATTTCACTTATTCTTTACAACAGCCCTATGAGGGGGATGCTAACATCATCATCTCTGCCTAACAGCTGAGAAATCTAAGGCACCAAAAGGTTAAATAACTTCATTCACTCACTTGGTAATCATTGATTAACAAGAACCAATTACGGGCCAGATGTTATTCTAGGTGCTAGGGATACAGCAGTTAACCAAACCACATCGCTGACCTTACGGAGATTTCCAGGAAAGAAAGAAGAACAAACAAACAAAAATATATAACATCAAGTAGTTACCAAAACCAAAGTCAAGTAGAAAGAATACTGTGGGAGCTGCGGACCTAGTGAGTGGTGGGGTAGAGGGTCAGACCAGATGTGACTGCAGGGCTGCAGCTCTGCAACACTGTGCTACAGTCAAACTCAGTCTTTAAAGCTCACCGACTGGAAGTGTACACAGCTCTTAGGATTGGGACCTCGTTAGCCTTTCTCCAGCTCAAAAAGAGGCAGACATGAAGTATGGGGGTGGTATTCCTATATAAGGAAGACACTCACTTTCCCTGAAGCAACTTTAGTTTAGTGGGTTTTGGACGGAGGGCTCTAACTGCTGCAGTTCCCCCTTTTCCCCAAGATAGGACTTCTTGTTTCTCTCAGTAAGAAAAGGACACTGATCACTTCTACAAACTACCAAGGACCAACAACAATCATCTCCACCAGCAATGTGCAAAGAGCAGAACAAAATCTGAAACCATTTTGTCTGGCTGTGATTTTCTGTCAATATCACTGTACAACTACCTCAAGTAACTCATTCCTGAAGCTCTGAAAAGTCAGGTTCTAATGTAATACTTATTCTTGAAGTATGGTGCACTCTTTTTTTTTTACACTTCCTCTCCCAAAAAAGTAAAAGAATCAATCTCAGAAATGAATATATGTAAAACTGGGAGACTGAATTCAAAAAGACCAATCTGAAAATGGCCAGTTCACTTATTTTTTCCACACAGTATCTGCCCAGGGCTGTGCCCTGTCCCATTTCTCTACTGTCTCTGAGTCCTCAGGTATATTAAGGAACGTGGATAGTGTGCAATCAACAACTAAAGCTGTACAAGAGAATACAGCTGTGACACATAACCCACACGTGTAAAAGCACATCCTAAGGAAATAATAAACAGAACACATATTTAGACGTATGTATGAGGCTGTTTTGTAACAGTGATAGCATAACAGGGGAAAAAAATCAAGAAAAACCAAACGTGTTCAGAAACAAGGATTAGTTAAATAAAGGCTGACTTCTCCTCTGGATTCCAGTCTCACGCTCGATTTCCTAGCCGAATCTCCACTTGTGTATCTCACAGGTGTCCCCAAAAGAGAGCTCCCAATTCCCACCCCTTCTCCAGCCTGCTGCTCCCAGTCTCCCTATGCAGGGAATCACTCCGTTATCTACCAAACACTGCCCAAAATAAATCTCAAAATTCTCTTTGATTCTTCAAATATCCTCACCTTCCACATCCAACTCATAAGCAAATCATATCAAATCCATCTCCAAAATTAATCTCAGAATCACCCATTTTTCTCCAACTCTACTGCCACTACACTGGTGCTACTGGCATCTAAGGAGAGGAGGCCAGGGGTGTGGATAAATATTCCACAATCCCTTACAACAAAGAATTAACCAGCCCAAAGTGTCAGTAGTGCTGCTTCTGAAAAGCTTTGCTCTACTCCTCCCTTAGAATTGCAGACAGTTTTTTATTCTTCAAAGTTCAGTATAAATGCCACCTCTTTAGAGGGATCCTCTCTGATCACGCTATTTAAATTAGGTCTCCCCATTCAAACCTCCCTCCCCATATGCTCTATGACAAAGGCCTTTTTCTTCATAGCACTTTTCACAATTTCTTGTGTATTATCTATGTATCATTTTATCTGCTTGTTTTGTTTGTCCAACTCGATTATATGTCTGGTGCTTGCAGAGACCATGTCTGCCTTGTTCACCACAGTTTCTGCAGCGCCTTAGCAAAAAGTACACAGGCACTCAGAACAATAACATATTTTCAAAAATTACATAGTGCATAATACATATCTGCATGATAAAATCAGGAAGCACATATACAAAAATGTTAGTTATCTCAGGGTAATGTAATTTAGGTGACTTAACCTCTCTTTCTGGCTTTCTTCTAGTGTCTTATTGTTCTACCCTGCCACCAGTGTGACTCAGAGTGGCCACCTGCTTCCTCTCTGTGACTGCTGAGAAGTACCTTTGTGATTAGCCCTGCTGAACTACACCTTCCCTCACTTATAGCTCCCCTCTGCTCTCTGCACAGGAGGCACTGTAGACACAAACTGAAATGGTAGGAGGGGGGAAAAAGAAAGGAATGGGGAAGAAGTAAAGCCCAAAAAGCCCACAAGTGGGATAAACAGCCGGTTGGATGCTGAACTGCCTTCCCCCTCCTCACCTGGGGCAAGTCCAGGGTTGGTGAGAACTACCCATGGAACAGGCCATAAAGCATCTTAGCTGCCACCATGGTCGGCTGCGCCAGGGAATCTGACCCCTACCATGTCTTACCCACCCCACAAACTCCAGGCTCTCCCGGGCCCAACATCTTACCTGAGCAAACAGATACTCCAATGAGCTGGCGTCAAGGAGAGGGGTTGCATCTGGAACTTTTTTTTTCTCGTAGCTATTCTTCTGCTTCTTTGGAGAATGTCGCCATACTGACTGCTCGTTATCATTGGTCCCGTGCCAGTTGGTGAAATAGAACCTGTAAGGCAGGAAGATGCATGTTAACTGTGGGAAAGGGGACCTTGGCATGCGTGGGAGAGGCATCCTGGTTCTACCCAGAGCGATCAGTGCCAGAGGTTAAACTTCCCTGAGAAGTAAACAAACAGACCTTCCATCTGTGTAGCGCTTCACTGTTTATAAGGTCCTTTTCTTTTCATTCTTACAAGCACTCTGTGAAGAGCATACTGCCAGAACCTCATCTATGACTCAGGGAGATAAAGTGACTTCCTTAAAAATCACAAAGTAATTTCCACTCCGTCTTCCTAGATAGGAAAACACTGCTGTCTAGAACTAGATGCTAGCCCAGCAACTCCCTCCACTGTTAGTAACGCCAGCCTGCCTTGAATCCAAGACCTATTTCACAGTTTAACATTTCTGAAATCTAGTTTCATCATACAGTCAAGACATACCGTTAATGTAGCAGTGTTTCCTAATTCTCAGATGGCTGTTACTGACACTTTTTATCCTACAATGAACAAAGTTTTAAAACAGAAGAAATATACAAACACTACTACAAGCATCAGCTGCAGTGCCCTGAACTAATAAATGCTTCATATACATTATGCGATTTAATGCTTACAGCAACTGTACAAGGTATGTTTCACTGTTTCCATTTTATAGATGAGGAAAACTGAGGTTCCGAGAGGCTAGGTCACCTAAGACCACAAGCCTGTTTCCTCCACTACTACTTTCCTCTGCCATCTGTAAGAGAAACATAATGAGTTCTGGAATGTGTGAAAGTGACTGAGCCAAGCTGATCCAGGCCAGCTCTAGGCTACAGACTCAGAGGGTACCTGGGTCTCTCTCCCTTGACATGCCCATGTGCTGATGAAAAACCACCACGGCATGGAGAAGGAACATATAAAACCTCCCAAAAAGGAGCTGCCGTTAAACTCAGATATCTGTCAGTGAGCTCTATTTGCAGAGCCTAGGGCATGCCAGGTCCTGGGCCAGGCTCTGGAACACAAGGGGTTCTCAGGCACAGTCCCTGCCTGCTGTGAATTCCCTGTCTGTAGCCAATCAGTTAAATCCAGGGGGCACATCTCATAAATAGGGCTACACTGTGACTTCCATGGACCCCACACAGTTTTCCTTTCCTCCATAAAAAAAAATATTAAAGTTATATTTTACAACTATGTTGGTATAAAGATGAATATAATCCAAGCTGGATTATTTTTTTCCTGATTTTAATAAAATTAAAACACTTCTGTGGACCCCTAATAACGTCATGAGCCCAAGGCATTGTGCCTCACAGATAAGTTTTTCTTGAACATGAGTGTCTCAGATAAGGTGTCAAAGGAGTACCAAGGAGGAAGAAGTTGCTGCCACTGCCAGGGGATGTGGCAGGGAAGGGTAAAGTGTTGGGGAAGGGAGTTGGGACTAGGATAAATAAATATCAGGCTATGGAGTCTGGACCATACACAGAAGGCAGAGGAAAGACTGAGCCAAACTGATGTGAGGCAAGATCCCACTGGAAGAAAGCCCCACAGAAGATGGACTGAAATGAGAGAGGCCAAGAGACAAGCAGGCGCCTAAGGCAGCAGCCTGGGCAATGCCGTGAGGTTTGTGGGGGCAGAGGCCTCAGTGCCTTGCTCATCACTAAATCCCCAGCACCTGGCATATAACAGGTGCTTAATACATGCTTGTTGGATGCAGAAACAGCAAATGAATGACCTAACTCAAGAAGTAGCAATTAAAATGGAAAGGATGGATAAGAAGTTACTTTAAAGGTAAAAATCAACATTTTACAACTTTCAAGTGATTCTATACAGCCCATCTTCCACAAAACTCACGGAAATGACTGAAAATTTGACTGTGGCCTTTGGCATCTCTCTCTCAGACAGAAAGAGCCACGTATCCACAGAGTCCACATGCACCATAAACCACAGCTGCAGGACTGTCCCCGCACCTTCCCACGTGAGAGTAGAAGCCTGAGGCTCTCAGCTGACAAAGAGGCCAGAATTCATGCTGCCCCCAGGCTGAGGAGCCTGCTCTTCAAGGGAAGAACAGAGCAAGGTGGGGAGGACTCCTCCAGGATCGGTTGCCCCAAGCAGGCAGAAAGTAAGAGGTGAACCAGCCCTACCAGCTGAGCAGACACAGGAAATCTGACACTGGGGCAGAAAAAGATGGACAAGGCCATGGCCAACTCCTCTGACTGCTGAGGGAAATCCAAAATGGAGAGTTCTCTTCATTCATACAATAATCTAGTGATCTACTGTAAGTTCCAGGGGGTCTGCCTGGGAGGAGGCAGGTGAGAGGGTCTAAATGGGATGATTAAGAGAGCAGCTAACAGGGCCCAGCATACTCTCTCGGGGCTGAAGAAGGACATTTTCTGAGGTTGCTGTCTGAGCCCTGTGAGACTAGCCTTGCCTTGGAAGCCTTTAGGTAAGATGTTCAGACAAGATAAGGCAATGTGCAGCTTCTCCACTACAGAAAGGCTGAAGGAAGCCTAAAACAAGGCTGGATCTCTGGAAATTGCCTATAGTCAAAGGCTGACAGCTCTCTATTTAGTAAGACAATAAAAAGAAAAAAAAACTTTAGATCATTTAACTGCCAAAATCAACATCTTCCATAAGCAACAAGCATATATTGCATAGCACAGGGAAATATAACCATTATTTTGTAATAACTTTTTTTTTTTTTTTTTTACGCGGGCCTCTCACTGTTGTGGCCTCTCCCGTTGCGGAGCCCAGGCTCCGGACACGCAGGCTCAGCGGCCATGGCTCATGGGCCTAGCCGCTCCATGGCATGTGGGATCTTCCCTGACCAGGGCACGAACCCGTGTCCCCTGCAGCAGCAGGCGGACTCCCAACCACTGCGCCACCAGGGAAGCCCTATTTTGTAATAGCTTTAAATGGAGTATAACCTACAAAAATACTGAATCACTATGTTGTACATATGAAACTAATATTGTAAATCTACTACACTTCAAGAAAAATAAATAAATGTAACAACAGGGAATGTTTCAAGGAAAAAAAAAATCAACATCTTCCTAATCGCTAATAAGACAAAACTAGTAAGTACACTGAAGACAGAAATTGTGTGCCTCTTTCAAAATTAATTATTAAACTTGGGCCAATTCCTGATACTACAACATGCTAAAGGAAAAAAATTAAGAATGATCTAAATAAATGTAGTACGACAGCTGCTGATATTCCTCTGCAGAATGATGTGGAAGAACACTGCAGGAAGGAAGGAGGGAGGGAAAGATTATCCCCCTTATTGGTGGGACAGACAGACCTGCCAGTAAGAGATATGCCTTCCTTGCAAGTTTCTGAGAAAATTATATTACAGATGATGACATATTCTAAGTTTGTGTACAGCTATTATATACAACGAATTCTCTTCAGGCTTCCATAGAACTTTACTAATGGAGAGTAAAATTCATTTAGATGATAAAGCAAGAAAACTTTTTTTTCTTAAAAAGGAATAAAGAATATGCTTGTCTTATATTAAGATACATTACAAAACAATAGCTATCAAAATTATCTAAAAGCAGAAAACTATAATTAAAGTACAAGAACACAGAGCTGGGGTTCCACTGAAATAGTCACCAACATTTATTTTCGTGTTACACCTTTTTTAGTGGTGAGATGCTGAGGTTTCAAAATTATGTAGTTTGTTGTAATGCAAATGTTTTAGCTTAGGGTGGGATCTTTTCTTCCAAGTTCAAAGAGCTTGTGGTAACAAAGCAATATCCTGTTGAAGCCCAATGTCAGGTACAAAGTCAAGGTGCCAAAAATGAGGCAGCCATGCACTTCCTGGCAGCTAACATAAACAGGGAGCTGGCAAAGACAGCTTTTAATCATGAGGCAGTCACATGACCAGCAAAGACGAAGGCCTCAAAGAGGATTCTAATGCTAACAAGACAATTCACTATGTGTGTAACTGTGAGTAACTCACTTCTCTTTTTTGGACATCAGTTTCCCCCTAAAAAACTGGAAGAATTGAATCAGGCAAACTCAGGTGTCTTCCAAGTCCCAGATTCTACCATTCTAGATTCCGAGCCAAGTGGAAAAACCTAGAGGGAAAGAACTAGAACTCAATGAGATGCCCCACTCCCTAGACTTCGAGCTGCAAATACATGTTTCAATGCTGGGTCACATAGCCAACCCCCAGGCCACAGAAAGCTAGATTACACTCTGAAAAACAAATCCAAATATAGTCGGAAGGCTCAACTGGGTGGGGTGAATGTTTCCCTAAATCTGGGGCGTGAAATCTCACGTGACACACACCTCTCCTCTTAAGGTGAGACCGTGGGTGAGTACAGAGAGAAGAGGAAAGTCAGCCCCAGGATGATTATCAAAGAACGTAGATCTGGTTCAGCTTCCGCTGAGAAAAACACCCAGGCCACTGTGGAATGGTAACAACTCTACTGACTCCCCAGAGTAAATAGCAGCTAAAATACTGAGGGCCTCTGAGATATCCAGGGCTTTTCCAGCATGACCCGGCGTACCATTAGCATTTGAGCTAACCCACTGACTTAATCACATCTATGTACGTTAAGATTCTTTTCAGATATGATTCACCCTATTTATAATAGGGTGAATTTATAAGCTCCTCTGCTAAATATACGTGTGAAAGTATGCTTAGCTAGTATCTAACAAACATACTTTCAATTCTAGGTACAGAACAAACACACTTATAAACTCAAGAGACTACAGTGGTAGTACTGACTGCCTGTGCCACCTTGGGAGACTACGTGACATTTAACAAAGTCTACAATATGGGAGAAAAGGCAAGTAAGTACCCACCAGAAGAAAAATTACAGCCCCACTAGATAAAAATCCTCAGGGAGTGGATCAAAACATTCACCTCTTTAGAACAAGACCAAGCTAGGATTTCTAGGTTTCCACTTCAGGCAGTGTTTCTCAAGCTCTCTAGCTGCAACTTTTAGTAAGAAACATATTTATTTTATCATGACCTAGTACATACAGACAGATTACATATCGCAAACTGAAGTTCTAAAAAACAATATTCTTAGGATATGTATATATGATGATATTATCTGTCCTCAACTATTTCTCTCTTTTAAAAAAAATCCTGGTCATAACTCACTAAATTAAACTCATATCCATGATTCACTGAATGAAAAACTCTGCTGTAGGATACTAATTCTATTCAAAATACCCTCTGCATCATAATGATTTCTTTTCTAAAATGTGGCAGAGGAAGGTGGTCAAACTCACCTTGAATTGTTTTCCAAATACTGAAGAAGCCCTTTCCCATACCAAGCAAACACAAAACTTACAAGTTATAAAAATGACTACAATACTTCTTGGTAAGTGAATCAGGGCTCCAGGCTAACCGTTGCCCGTCCCTGCATGAGGGAGCCCAGCAGGCACCCATACCTCATCCGGTAGTGGAGCCGGAGTGACATCTTGTCGTCGACGGTGATGGTGCGATTCGGAGCATACCAGAGCTTGGTGTTCTCATCATACAGGGCAAAGAGGTTGTGACACAGAGGAGATATACCTGGGGAAAAGTAAAGAACAATCGGAAAATTAAAGACAGATAAATCTGGCCATCTGTTTCCAAAGCACAACATATGCAAAGACCAGAAATTCTCTTGTCCAAAAAGAATCTATGTCATATTCGCATCCTCTTACAGCCAAATACAACTTCCAACCATGTTCAATCAGGCAGTTTTAAACAAAATAATAAAAAATTATGGCTCCCCAGGAATATATACTATAGCTCCTGGCAAACCAGGTTAAAACCATTTAAAAATGAAAGTCAATAATATTTCTCATTACAGTGTCTATGACAGAGTCTTACCAAATCCTGCTTCAAAGAAAAAAAGGCCATCTGAGAGGTTTCCAGACACCACCTGATGTGCACCTTGTTAATCACAGTGAGAAACATTCTTAGAGTTTGAGAAATCCCTAATCTGTCTCCTACAGAAAATGTTTAACCAGTTCTAACACACTGTGATTACACATTAAACATGTGAACAAGTTCCTGGCAGTAGCACATGAAATGTGTGTTAGAATAAATAACCAAAGTGATTTCTATCAGTGATTAAAATCTATTGCCATTAATAACAATACACTTCTTAAGTACTCTGTATGGTTATCAAAAATATTTTTTATTGGTAGCCAACTAGCAAGAACATATATGCTTACAAAAGGTGGTCCAACAGTGCTCCCTTGCCTCCCTACCTAACTGCCTCCTTTGATACAAGAATGTTCAAAAAGATAAGGGAGATGATGAAGCCAGGAGAGTACCTTTCCACTCACTTCTGAGCCCATGATTAAAATTACACAGACCTGCAATCTGAAAGTGTCAGGGGAGATAGGAGAACGATTGCAAGTAATCAATCACTGCTGATATTTTCATGTGTGGTCAGGCCTCAAACTAAGCTACAATGAACTTAAAAGCAAAAAAACATGGGAGAACATGAGGTAGCTGGCACTTGTTTCCCAACTCAGACATCTGAAGTGAGACTGACACTGACTGGGACCCCGGCTGGCCCTGCTCACCTAGGCAGGGACTCTCTCCAATGCACACGCTAAGTTAAGAAGTTACAGCTTTCTTGTCATCTTCATGCCTCTGCTGAACTCCTCAACTCCTGCTTCTCAAGATATTTGGGAGTTACCCCTTCAGAGTTACACTCCTCCATGTAACAGAGAAGATGGAGCTAAATTTCAAAGAGCATTTTCCCTTGGGAAAAATGGCAAATGGCTTTTGGATCCAGTATTATCAGGACTATGTTTCGGGTAAACAGTAGGTTTTCATTCATAAATTGGCTTCTGTGGACTGGCCTAGAAATCTAGCTTTTCTTTATACATATCCATATTTGAATGTGAAACATACATATTTGAAGAATAATTTATCTATAATCATGGATAGGTCTATAATTCTACCACAGGTCTGATTCAAACAATATTACTACTTAAAAATAGGAAGATGAAAGATACCGTTTATATAAAAGTACTGAAAAATAATAACAATACTAATATTTACTGAGGGCTTTGTATCAGGCATCAGGCTAACACACATCTATTACTTTTTAATTCTCCTAACACTTAATGTGGTTAAGTATTATTTTTGCCATGTTACAGGTAAAGAAACTGAGATTTAGTCTGATTCAGGGTTACTCAACTAGTAAAATCCAGGGCTGGCATTCAAACCTAGATAGAGGTACTGAGGGGGCAAATAATGAGAGCTAAAAGAACAAAAATTTACCATATATTGGTGAAAAATGAGGAAGTATACAGACCCCAAAACATCATGCACTATAATAATAATAATAGCTACAAGAATCTGTGGTATTTCTGTATTCATCTATTTTTAAAATTTATTAATTTTTGCAACAATCCCCTGAGTTGGTTACAAAAGATACTACTCAATCTCTACAGACTGGGCTTAAAAACTGATGCCCCAAATTGACCCTGAGCCCAGAGTAACAGGATACAGGGGCTGTGTCTGTCTTCAGATTCACAGGTTCTCCCCCTCATCTCCTTTAGCAGCAATTCCTGTCTCTCTCACTAACTGCAGCCCAACAATTCTGTACAAATGATCCTTGCTAACAAACTAAGGTTTATACTTGCTATGCTGATGGCAAGAAGCTTGGCTAAGAGAATAAACACTATACAGCAAATCTCAAGGTAAAGGGGAAAAAATGCCTTAGAAACACCAATTTACATCTAGTTGTTTTGCTAATTACAAATACTTTTAAAGCTGCTGTCCAAAGCTGGTTCCTTACCTACTCTGCTATCTAGTCAAAGTAACTCTAAAATATTAATGCATTTTCCCCATAATAATCTGTAACTCAGCCAACTTTATCTAGTGTTATGTTTAGTCAGTAAGGATCTACTACATTCTTCCCTATAGCACCAACCTCTCCCCTTTTATTGGAACTCTTGTATTTAAAGCATTTTAAGCAGAAAGACATTATCAGGAAGAAAATGGGTTTTCTAGACAAGCTGTATTACAAACAAGGTAGCTGATTCTTGAAACAACCACACTATCCCCGCAGAGCTGTTCTGAGGACTAAAGATGATATAAGTAAAGCATGGATCAGACTATCTGCCATCATGGCTACTTAATCTATCATCATGAAATGAGTGGATTTTTTAAAAACAGCTTTACTGAGATGTAATTTACATACAATAAAGTCCACCCATTTTAAGTGTACAGTTCAATGAATTTTAGTATATTTACAGAGTTGTATAACCACCACCGTGATCTACGTGGATTAGATCTTCAGTTTCTATGAATTAACTTTACCTGTCATTTAAAAGCAGGTAGGCAAAAATTGCCAATGACTCCAAGTTTAAAGGATAATGAAGGGCTTTATTTTGTTAGTCAGTTTGGTTTCCTACCTTCTAAGGGCAATAGGCTAACTTTAGTAAGACAAGCCTCACTTTAAAAAAAGAAAAAAAAAAGAAAGAAAAAAGAAAAAACGATTGTCTTGTTCACAGCCTCACTGTCCTTCCTTTTCACAACTTGGCAATCTGACCAAGCCACAAAGTGACACTTAACTTCTCCCTTCAACTTAGTGTCACGTTGCAGGGGCAGGGGGCAGGGAGGGGGGTGTCAGGCAATAAGGAGGCAGGTCATGGTAGCATAAGGACAGACCACACTTTTCAGAAGTTTTAAACAATTAATATATTGAGAGATGGCACTTCTGAGCTTGTAACTTTGTGCCAGGCGCTTCACTCATTTAGTGCTGATATTATTCCAATTTCACAGATATAGGGGAAATCAGAAAACTGAGCATCGTTCCCTGGTATCCCTGTAGCTCATTAGTGACAGAGCAGGAATAAGCTACTCTGCAGCAAAGAAAGTGAAAAGTGAAACTCTCAGAATTAAATTCACTGGCCTAAGGTCAAATGCAAGTCAGTGGCAGAGGCAGGGCAGAACGAATGGCTCCCAGAGCCCACACCTCTCTCCACTCAGTGGAGGTGTGGGGGCAGAGACACCGGGACCTGCTGGGCCCTGGGCAGCTGCCGGTACTCACAGCATTCCTGCGCCGCCTTGATGCACAGCTCCTCCGCTGTGTACTCTCCGCCGCCCAACCGGAGGGGCTCCCTGTCCGACAGATAGAAGAGCACTTCCACCCCTGGCTCAGGGGCCTCCAGATTCGCGTCAGTCTTCTTGGAGCTCCTCATTTTAGCACAGAAAGCCATGGCATTGCAGTCCTCTTTTATATTTAAATACTGTAGTGGAAGGAAAATGAGACTATGCGGTCATTCTATGTGCTAAAAGCACTAAGTGGTGAAAGAGTGTTTTGAAGGTAAGCAAGCCGAAAGATATGGTGTTGGATAAGTACCTCCCCCTGCCTCTTTCCTCCCTGAAAATCAAATGTACCAGAGCTCACAGCAGGTACAATCATGGGAAGTAATCAATTATGCACGCTCATGAATTATGGTTAAGACCATATTGTCAAAAATCAGAGTAATTTTAGACATGACCTGAATTTATTTTCTGTATTTGCACACAAGTTGTAGTTGAAAAATGTGCCTCATTCTGGAACCACTGATGTTAACATTACTAATATTCCTGTTACCTCTACCGGAATCATTTAACTTTTGAATAGACCTACTGGCACAAATTACACTTTTACTTTTATGTCTACCTCCCAGTAAACGGCAAGCTCGGGGAGGGCATTAACCATCCTTACCTATTTTCATGCCCCTAGAGCCTAGCCCAGGCTGGCTCTGAGATAGTACACACAAAAGGACTACCGATTCATGTTCATAAGCCACATGAATGGGTCATGAGAATTAATGAGTGGAGCCGGGTCCCTTCACCGCACGGACAGGCAGGACGATGGGCAGCACTTTGTGGCACCAGAAAGTAAGCGAGAAGCTTTGCTTTGAAAAGGTCAGAACCCACTGGTGAGAAGCTTGCAAATAAGTTACTCACCTGAGCGCCCTCAATGGGGAGAGCAACTAGGATCAACGAGCCAACCTCAGCAACTGAGCTTTGGGCATGGTGAGAAAAGAGAGGGGAACTAGGGAAAGTCCTGCATGTTCTTTCTCCCCCTCACCCCAGCACCAATGGCCTCAAACCAATTTCCCTGACCCCAGGTTCCTACTTTCCTCCTGCCTACCAAGCCAACCTTCACTTAGCCCCCAAAGTAATGTCCCCCTAGCACATCTCAGATCCTCTAAAGGCTCCCCATTAATCTAGAGACCAATCCTAAGCTCCTAACAGAGGCCCTCCATCACCTGGCCAGATAGCCGCACTGGCCTCATCTCATGTTATATCACTCTCGGCCTCTTACTGCAGGCTTGAAACTCACAAAGCTGCCATCTTCTTGTTACCCCCCCACCCCCACCCCCAAGCCGTTTATCTCATTTTCCTGCCTTTGCTCATGCTGATTCCTCTACCAGGAGTGCCTTCCCACCTCATCCCTTTCATGGCAAACTTCAATTGCCTTTAGAACTCAGCTCGGACATTACCTCCTCCAGGAAGCCACCTCTGAACCTCCATCCCACCTCCTGAGTTAGATGTCCTCTCTCAAACTCACCACACTGCACTGACCGCACTGAATTACAACCCTCTTATTCACCTGTCTGTCCCTCTCTCACTCCCACGTGCTGAGTTCCTTAAGGACAGGGACTGTGTCATTCATATTTGTATCACCAGTGCCTAGCACAGAGCTTGCAGAATGACCCAAAGCAAGTCACGGAGGGAGGGCCACAGTCACAGTTCTCTTAACCAAATTCTCTTCAACAAATTCATGTGCTTGGTCCGTTAGCTGCCCTGGTGAGGTGAGATACTTGCAGGAAGGACACGAACTAGATATGCCTCGATACTACAAACTAAAAGGCACTTGGTTTTATTTGTTTAATCTCCAAAATAAATCTGAAGATCAAAATTTTCCAGAGACCAGGCTGAAAGATTAGCTCATAACTTACCTTAAGGTTCAGATCAACTATCAAGGAAGAAAGTTTTAAAACCCAACACTGAGCCTCCAACTCCACCCCAACAATGAAAAATAGAGATGGAAGACAAAGTAGCTAGTCTGCTTTATAACTTAAGAAAAAACCTTTGTCCTTAAGAGTCTAAAGAGACATGGAGGGGGAAGAATTTAAAGATGGTATTATACACTTTCACCCTACAGAAATAATCAGGCAAATATACATAATTATATATGTACAAGATGTGGCACCATTTGAAATAGAAAACAAAAATACAATGTCCAACAGGAGAGCACTCAGTAAACAAAATTAAGAATATCAACATAAGGGCTTCTCTGGTGGCGCAGTGGTTCAGAATCCACTTGCCAATGCAGGGGACACGGGTTCGAGCCCTGGTCTGGGAAGATCCCACATGCCGCGGAGCGGCTAAGGCCCGTGTGCCACAACTACTGAGCCTGTGCTCTATAGAGCCTGCAGGCCACAACTACTGAGCCCGTGAGCCACAACTACTGAAGCCTCTGTGCCTAAAGCCCATGCTCTGCAACAAAAGAAACCCCTGCAATGAGAAGCCCTTGCACCGCAACAAAGAGTAGCCCCTGCTCACCACAACTAGAGAAAGCCCGCGTGCAGCAATGGAGACACAATGCAGCCAAAAATAAATAAAATAAATTTATATATAAAAAAAAAGAATACCAACATAAAGGAATATTATGCAGCTGTTAAGGTGACATAAAACTATTTGACCCTTGGGCTCCCCTGGTGGCACAGTGTTTGAGAGTCCGCCTGCCGATGCAGGGGACACGGGTTCGTGCCCCGGTCCGGGAAGATCCCACATGCTGCTGAGCGGCTAGGCCCATGAGCCATGGTCGCTGAGCCTGCACGTCCAGAGCCTGTGCTCCGCAACAGGAGAGGCCACAACAGTGAGAGGCCTGCGTACCGCAAAAAAAAAAAAAAACCTATTTGACCCAACATTGAAAGATGTATATGACACACTGCAAAATGAAAAAAGCAAAACATGTATATTATGATCCTTCTGGTTATGCATTTGTACAATCTGGAAAAACAGACAATAATTTGTTAACAGTGGTGAATATCTAGGAGAGGTTACAAGGGAACTTAAGACTGTACTTCCCATATTTTAGTAGTTAAAAAAAAATCTCCAAAGTAGCACATGCAACATTTGGAACGAACAAAAATTAAAATAACGATATTGAAAAATAAATGGATATAGCACAGATAGCCCTATAAGTTTAAGATCAGTTTCATTATTCTTTATAGAAGCTATTTTCCTTTTTGTCTTTCTTTTAAATATGCAAATGTACATACCTGCATTTATCCAGCTGTCCAATGCCCCCCAAAAAGCAGACTGGATTTTCTTCTCTACTTTCCAAAACCCATTCAGAGCTGAGCTAAAGACAAAGATAAATAAATAAATCAGCTGCAGAGGTAACTGCATCAGAAAATAAGAGGACACTTTCATTAAGGAAGCAGCCCAAACCATAAACAGGCAGGAAAAAGCATTTGGGAGGAAGAAGGTGGGGGTGGGGGAACATTGATGAGGACACTGAGAGGACAGAGAGACATCTTAGGGTGTAAACATCAAAGAAGAAGATGTTATTTTCACTGCTTCAAGAAAGGAAGCCAGGGACTTTTGCTTCTTGGTGTAGAGTGCCCTGTCCAGTGTGAATGAGGACTATGTGCCTTTTCCATCAACAACCTCTCTCTCTCTTGAGGCTGTGAACAATAGTTTAGGGGCCCAAAGATGTGCACTTTTATTTCCCATTTCTACTTCCTTTAGAATTACCCTCTTCCCAATCCAGTCTACTCCTGGCTTCATTTTAATGGTGAAACAGCAAATGGTATGGTGAAAGGAGGAGGGCCTGGGAACAAATCTGACCAATGATGCTTTCAGTTCACCAAATATTTTTTGAGTCATTCTTATCTGAAAACTTAGGCAGCAAATAAAGGTCCTCCCAACCTCACCTCAAAGCCTTATTCATACTAAACAGGAATAGCAGTTTGGTTCTGTAAAATTAAAGTTCCTGGTCCCATTCTTACCACCACCAACACCACCATCACCTACACAGCTCTGCATTGTGTTTTTGTTTTTTTGTTTTTGCGGTACGCAGGCCTCTCACTGTTGTGGCCTCTCCTGTTGCAGAGCACAGGCTCCGGAGGCACAGGCTCAGTGGCCATGGCTCACGGGCCCAGCCGCTCCGCGGCACGTGGGATCTTCCCGGACCGGGGCACGAACCCCCGTCCCCTGCATCGGCAGGTGGACTCTCAACCACTGTGCCACCAGGGAAGCCCTCTGCATTGTTTTAACAGCTTTCCTTGTTGCTTCTCACAAACTCTTTTTAAGAGTAAAATCAAACTATGTTTTGCAAATAAGGAGCAACCACTCTTAGTGATTTGAAAATGGCTGCCAAATTAATACAGATTATTGTCTCAGTTTTCTGTTGGTCATTCCACACATTTTATCAGAATCCAGCTTTAGGAGGAGCACAGTCCCATGCATGACAAGGCAGGAGTGGAGGGGTGCCTGGGGAAAGGGGGATGAGTTACCTCTGAGGCTGCAAGGCCAGCATTCCCACAGGACCTTAGAGTCGAAGTGGGAGATGGCACAAAACACAAAAGCAATCTAAAATCAGTAGAGTGGGTGTGGCATGATGTCATCTTTATGCCCCTTGCTAACTCCAATGACTGACACTGGAGAGGGCTGGTTTGGGAAGGTTTTCTGCAGTGGATAAGGCAAAACTAATGATAGGAGGCCAGGCAGGGGATATAAGTATGAATTTTGATGTGATGACTTTGACTTGGCTATTTTGTCATGACAGTTTTTAAAAGATTCAAAGAACAAATTATTATACTTTCAACTTTAAAAATGTAATATAACCAATTGTTTTAATTACATAAATAGATACCCTGCCTTGCAGCAAAACAGCAATCTGAAATTAGCTACATCTAATACCCTGCTTCAGCTCAGAAGCAGGTGTTCAAATCCCACATTTAGGAGACCCATTCGACAATTATTTTTGAGCAGTTCTTCGTGCCAAAAGCTGAACTATACCAGGAGGCCGCAACGAAGAACAAGAGCAAGATGGTCACTGCTCATGTGGAGCTTACAGTCCACAGGACTAAAAGAATCAAACAAAGATGCAGAGAAAGAAGTAATCATAAAGAACTTAAAATACCATGAAGGAAAAAGAGAGCATATAATAAGGAATGTGATTCAGCATGGGACTCAAGAGGGAAGTAACACTGAGCTGAGATGGAATGGCTATCATGGGAGGTGGGGAGAAAGCAGTTTGGGTAAAGGATGAGCATGTGCAAAGGCCCGGTAGAGGGAAGAAGCCAGTCCGGTCTCTCCAGATGCATAAATGGGGAAATCCCTCCAATATGCCTTTTTAGGTGTGGGTAAAGAACAGCATTACCACATTCATACTTGCTAACAGCATGCCTGGGGCCTTGCTACCCCATGTTTCCGGCAGCATGCTGCCAAGGATGAATGCAAATCAACCAGATGGCCTCCATGCTTTAGTGCCCCAAACCAGAAGAGGGACGCACACTCAGAACCTTTTAGAGTAGGAAGAGACCTGAAGTTCCACCAGTCCCTTTAAGAAGAGCTACTGCATAAATCTTTTTTTTTTTTTTTGGTACGCGGGCCTCTCACTGCTGTGGCCTCTCCCGTGGCGGAGCACAGGCTCCGAACGCACAGGCTCAGCAGCCATGGCTCATGGGCCCAGCCGCTCCACGGCATGTGGGACCTTCCCGGACCGGGGCACGAACCCGTGTCCCCTGCATCGGCAGGCGGACTCTCAACCACTGCGCCACCAGGGAAGCCCCTGCATAAATCTTTTTAAACTCACAAAAGCATTTTAATATGCACCATCAGATCACATGTTACTTGAACACAGGAGTCATGGGGATTGAGGATCAGACTACAATCACCAGGATTCTATCAAAACCCATAATCAAGAAGAGTTTGGTTTTTCCATTATTCATCCTCTACTACAAGCAACACTGTATTGAAATCACATTATACCTAATAATTTTCAAACTGACCTCCAGTATTACTGGACAGGACAAGAAAATGGTATCAATTTGTGATGCTTAGCCTAGAGATTAAACTCTGAGAAATCAAGATCAGCAACAGAATTTCTTGACAATATGCATTTACTCTGATATTTTTATAGGCTGATTCAACAACAAAAATCCCTGTTCTCAGAAAACTGACATTCCAATGATAAAAAATTAAACACACCCATATAGCACTTAAAAGGCATGCTAGGGCTTCCCTGGTGGCGCAGTGGTTAAGAATCCGCCTGCCAATGCAGGGGACACGGGTTCGAGCCCTGGACCAGGAAGATCCCACATGCCGTGGAGCAACGAAGCTCGTGCACCACAACTACTGAGCCTGTGCTCTAGAGCCCGCGAGCCACAGCTGCTGAGCCTGCGTGCCTAGAGCCCGAGCTCCGCAACAAGAGCAGACACTGGGATGAGAAGCCCGCGCACTGCGCAATGAAGAGTAGCCCCCACTCGCCGCCAACTAGAGAAAGCCCGCCTGCAGCAATGAAGACCTGACAGACCCAAAAATAAATAAATAAAATAAATTAAAAACAAACAAACAAAAAGGTAATCTGAACATTTAAACCTAAGACTGGTGACCCACTTTATGTGAAATGACGACTCATTCAGGATGACAAGTGTTTTTTGTGCTACAGCATTTATGCAATGGCTTCATTCAAATAACATTTCTTTCCAAATAAACTAAACAACATGCTCTAACTACTTACTTTTAGAACAAGTAGGAAAAGAGCAAGGTCAGCTTATAAATACTTTGGATAATTCCAAGAAATCAATTCAAGTTTCTTGCTACAAGGTACAAAAAGAACATCTTTAATGCTAGAAAAACTGACCAGTAGGAATCACTCAATACCCTTTAAAAATAACATGATTCACTGGGTTCCATTCCCAACTCAAATGAATACAAAGAAGCTCAGAAAATAGTAAGGATAAAATTGAGAAATCAAAAGCTTTTTGATGATAGCAGTGAATTCTTCCACCCTAACCTCCTTATAAATTTTCAAGGATTTGAAAGAAAATGCCTTTCTTTCATTTGAAGAAAGTGGCTTTAGTGGCTTTAGCCATTACTTTAGTGGCTCAATCTTGCAGATGCTACTTTACATGAAAAAAAAAATCAGGGAAATTTTGTAAATTCTCAATTGTTTTTCAGTTTATAAAAGTCTTATGCAAGAGATATGTATATCTAATACTCTGTGAATGAGGGAAAAGTAACAGAAACAAAATGCGATTCTGTGAGTCTGAACAGGACTAACTGCAATAAATGGGGTACCACAACTATTTTCTAAGATGCAAAATTCCAGAAATCAGTGTCTGAAGATATGGAAAGCCTGCTAAATTTTCAAGGATATCTTCTGAAATACAGGTATCTATTAAAGGAAGAACATAAAATTAAATTTTGAATAGTGGAGATGACAGACATAAAGATAGATCATATTAATATTCACAAATATGATGATCAGAATATGAGTGCTTTGGGCCAAAGGCCATGGCCAGATGTATATGATAAAAGTAGATTGGATGATGGTTAAAATCAATGACAAATGTATATGTATAACTGAATCACTTTGCTATACACCTGAAACTAACACAACATTGTTAATCAACTATACTCCAATATAAAATAAAAAATTTTTAAAAGGACTATCATTAAAGAAGGAATAAATGAAAGTAAAATTTTAAAAAATGTTTAAATCAATGACAAGACTCAAAATAAAATACTTTGGATATCTGATTTTTACTAGAGAAACCATCACACCTACAGTGAATTACTTAATGGATGACTTAAAGGAATCAAAGCTTTTGATTCCTGAAGTAGAAAATACAAATAAAATGTTGATGAATTAAGGTATGAACCCAGAAAAATTGAAAAGAGAAACATGTAATTTAGAAAATGTCCTGAAATCAGCTGCTTAATACCTTAAGAAATGTTAAGACTGAAGATCTTAAACCTTAAAAACCATCTTAGCAGGCACCAGTCTTAAGGTTGGTGAGGAAACCTGATGCAACAATATAAGTTCCAAGAGGGCAGGGACTCTTGTCACTTTTGTTCCATGCTTTACTGTATTAGGTGATCAGTAAGTAGCTAAATGGTTAAATGAAAGATGAAGGTAACAAAGCAAGCAACATCACCCAATGGAAATATCACCGTAATCCAGAGTGTGTGATTTTATTGCCTCTATACACAACTAGCAAGTGGACCTTGAGCAAGTCATTTAAATCTGAGCCCATCTGTGAACCTGAGAGGAAGCATCTTGCCCAACGGATCAAAAAAAATCTCTCAAAAAGTCTTCCTTAAGCTCCTACATGCCTTTTTCAAATGAGG